CTATGGAAATGGAGCTAAATCATCAGTTTTTGATCTTGGTATTCTGACTTTATTTTTCACTGAAGAAAGCCACCAAACTTACACTTCTGATATGGCTGATCAACTTCTACCCAACACAAAGCATAAATAGCTCCAGCTCTTCTCCAGTCTTTTTGGACACAAGAGTTTAAAACGGGTCACAAAGAAGTCTAGTGTTTTGTGGGTTTTTTAAATTTAATTAATTTTCTTTCAATTTTACTTTCTCTACTAATGGTAGAAGTCAGTTACTCCAGAGCAAGGTCAATATTTTCTAATATCTATGGCTAACTGACCAGGATCTCAATGGGTACCCTGTAGGTATCTCTTACGGATAAAACCTTACAGGGATTTTAAATTACAACATAGAAAGAAATAGAACAAGTTTAAAGTTCTAATTTCTGAAAAAAAATTAAAGCCGTGGCTGGGTCCTGAAAAAGCGTCACCACATTTATTATGTCTTATTCCTAATGTGCCTCAGGCATTTAATGGAACAGTTGGAAAAGGTAAGTAAGTTAGGAACCTGCATAGGTATCCTGAGTACAAAACTAGTACCATATGATATGGTCTAGATTATCAATTTCCAGGATATTTTAATTTTTTATAGCAATAGCTAATAGTATTCATAATTTTTTAAATGTAAAAAGTGAAGGATGTACCCCAATATGGGCTAATTTAGATTTAGAAAAAATAGGCAAGTCTTACAGGACTACATGAATGCTTTGTATCTCTTTTTACACTGCTGGTTAAACATAGATTTTAAGGTTATGATGAATGGAGTGCCTGACTTTAGGGGCTTTTTTATTAAAAAAAAAAGTGCACTGGGCAATCAGAGATTCCAACTATGCAAATTATTTCTTTCACTACCTGTGCAATTACCTAATCCATACAAAAAAATATTTTCTTATGCAGCGCTAAAACAGACTCTTCAAATGCCAAGACATTCTCCTGACCACAGCACTGTGCCCGTATAAATTTTATCATTTATGAATGAAAGTTACTAATATAACAACAGTAACAAAAAATAAGTTCCCTCAGAAAGTGTTAGGTAATAAGGGTGTTATAAACATGAACAAAAGCCAATCAACCAATGTAAACAAAGGTGACACCTTAACATAAAGGAATTTTGTTTTAGGTAGGAAAAAAAAAATCAACTCCAAATATATATTACTATAAAAGTAACACAAATAAGAACTATTAATTATACTATTGTTGGACGACAGAACCATGAAAACTAAATAATGACAGATCTATTTTAAATTAATACATTCCACAGCAACATTACTAAAATTATCATTTTAAGGTCATGAAAAATCAAGATTAGTTTATGACCACTACAGCATAAAAACAAAGTGAACTTGATTTACAACTGTATGTATGAATTCCAAAGATGCTAACAGGATTTAAACCTTTCAGTTTTCAGTTCTATGTTCAGATTATTCTCATCACATACCTCTGTTCTCGATAGTTTCTTTTTACGGACAAGAAGAGAAAGAGAGAGAGAGAGAGAGAGAATTAGTTACCTACAAAAGTACATTAAGAGAGACCAGTAAACATAAGAGCTCTAGCATTCGTTGAAAGGTCTCCACTAGAATTTCTAACTGCAGAATTAAAATGGGGAATAAAAACACAGTCTCCCTCTCTCACACACACACACAAATTTCACTTCATCTTTCAAGGAAGTGACACCAAAGGGTTAGTGACAGTATCTTCAAGTAACCATTGTTTAAAAGCATAAAGCTTCAGTTATTAAAAAGTAATTGTTTCCTCAATGTCAATTGTATATTAAACATTTAGTAATGTCCTAAAGTCAACCCTATTTCAAATACAGGTTTTCAGACATGTACATTGATTTAAATCAGGAAATTAGTCAAGTTACTTATATATATTAACTATGTTTTCATACAAATAAAAATTACAATCATTCTTTTTGGAATACATACCCCAAACTAAGCTCTTCCTAAGAATTTCAAATAGGAAAACATAACTGGACACAAGAACATTTTGTATATGATAAATTAGTTATCATAACAGCTAAACAGGTAATTAATTTATCATACACAAGAATAATAATAGAATTCACAACTGTTATGGACCTCCCAAGTCATCACTACTTATTCACTGAAGCTTCACTGAAAGCTACATTGGAAACACTTTGTTCAAAGTCTCTGTTTTTTATTTGGCCATCTCCTAAAATAAAATTGCATTAGTTTCAGAATAAACCATTCTGAAACAAAAATGTGTTCTAGAGAGTGTGGTAGTGAGGTGCCAATGATTTTTAACTTTTAAATCAAAAAAGTCCATTTAAAACTTTCTATCATGACCTAATTAGGTGTTAATATTTTGAAGACGTGTTGGAAGGTCAAGCAACTGAGCAGTAGGCTCCTTCCTCCAAGATCAAGGCTAATGTTTCCATATGGATTTCGTTTGTAGTACTTTCACCTGCCAATCTATTCCATGCACTGTCTATCTCATTTAATAATGAGTTCATGAGAGTAAAAGTGCAATTTGATACTTAATATTTTTAATTCCTGAAACCATAAGATAGAAGAGAAAAATAAGCCAAAATCTTTCTATTCAACATGTTTTACTTTTTATTCTCTCAATCTGATTACCTGAGTGGTCCACCAGTTCCAAATGAGTATTCCTCATTTCCTATTCCTGCCATTCCCCCAAGGCTTGGAGAAGGGGTAGAAAGTTTAATTGGAAGGATTAATGAAAAAATGAGTTCTCAGGTCCTAAATTCATTTTGGAATTTGAAATAGAGTATGTGTAACAGCATATTCATGAATTTAATTCATGTATTAAAATTTCTACATCCTTATTCTATTTTTACACATATTTGAATAAATTTAGTAACACTAAAACTTTCATCAGTCAGGTTCAAATTATTTATGAAGAGAATACTGTGGTATGAACAAGATTTGTCTTTTTCCTTAATAATCTGCAAAGTACATACATTCAGAAATGAAAAAAGTGAAACCACTTAAATATCGTAAAACTAAGAAATGATATACAGAAAGAAGTACTTTTCATTCTAATCATTAAAACAAACAGACACAGGTAATTTCATTAGCAGTAGGAGTAGATGTTTAGGTTTCATATTTCTGAAAGGGTAATTTTTTCCAAAATTGTAAACATGAAATATCAATTTGCATCAGTAGGTGGCAGAAAATCACACACCACAGAACTAACAATTTTGCTTTCCCTCTCACATGACCAAATGAAACCACTGAACTACTTCAAAACAGCAAGGTTGTGACGGCAATTACTACGTAAGTCTTGTATCAGGGAAGTCAAGGAAATAGTGTGACTCCAAGATGGAGTTAATTCACCTGAGGTGTGAGAAGAGCTCAAACAATATATATACAGAAAAGCCTTTCTTTCAGACATGTAATTTTATACTCCAAACGCTATGCTGAAATCAGCCTGTGCAAATGTAAGTATGCAATGTGCCTAACGAACTGCACATTAAAAAGGCATATAGGTACTGAGTATCTATGAGCTGGTACAGAGCTAGGTACCCATTTAATTAGGGCAAAGCATTACCACTACGCTGTGCCCTCCTTCGCTGTGCTATGCCACGTTAACTACATTACGCTAAACTTTACCCTGCTGTCTGTGCCATTCGTTAATACAACCTTGCACAAATGTCTTTCTGCATTTTAATACTTATAACATACAAAGTTTATCCTGGCAGTCAACTAATTGCCCTCTCCTTTCAGCCAAAGAAACTTTCCGGGTTTTGATCTCACAACAAGCAAGAGCCACAAACACTTTTAAGGAAGTTTCTGTTAATTCAGTTGGCTTAAAACCATGTCAGGGAATAATAATAATAACAACAACAGCAACAAATGATTATATAATGCCTAGTTTATTGAAAGGTTTTGGGTAATTTTAAAGTCTAAAAAAGTCTAATTCCCAAGTCTTTTAGTAAGCCAAATTTGATCTATGAATTAAAAAAAAAAACTATAAAATGGGCTAATAGGCAGAAAGTCTAGCAAAATTTGCAGGACTTCTTTCCAAAAGGAGAAACACCCCAAGCCTGGGGACCTGATACAACATTTCAGAGATCAGCAGGACTATGATTTTAACTTGAAATATTTTAAAAACTTAAGGTGTGTCACATTTAAGTTTTACTTTATTAAACATAAATAAGCTATTTGAATACTAAGGAAATTTTTCACATCGTAAGATTGAAGTACTTGAAAAGGGAAATGAACATATTAAATATACAAATAAGTTTGGAATGTGTGAAGTCATTTACTTAGCTAAATGCCTAGCTAAGGGGATCCAATATTCAAAAGTTATAAAATGTGTAACTTTTTCAAGTTTATAAATAGAACCAAAAAATTGTAAGTTGAACTTTGAAGCTTAAGAATTAGGTTTCTAAAAGTTGTAACTTACAGTTGAATTTCAATTTTAATAAATTACATCTCTGAGGAGTTTTTTCTTCACACAAAAACACCCACATGTGTAACAAATAACAATGCCTCCTTCATACTGGTTGTGGAGAGGTTTTGCTCTTTGCAGGATGCATGGCCACAGTGAAAGCACTCAGGAGCAGATCCTGCTGTTGTTCTTGTTGATATGACCTTTGTTATTAAAGCGCTATGCTCTCTAATTCACTATCTTGCCTAGATTTGGGGGAATGGGTTTAAGTCAAGAGAACCTGCATCACTAAAGAGCAAACCAACACGGCCTTTGTATGAGACACGATTTAGATTGATTTTACTTCATGCAATGGTTTTAAGAAATACTCAGTATTTTTAGAATAGAAGGGAGTTATCTCAAAATCTAAAAAATGATAAATTATTATTACCTCTAATCATGCCAAGAATAATCATTGATTGAATATTAAGCCAGACTTATTTTCACTGCAGGTATATTTATCCAATGATACAAAACTTTCTAGATGTTTAATTCGTTTAGATAAATACTTTAAAGTATAGTTTGACAGTAACATACTGAGCCATTTCACTTACTTATAGCCCCATGCAGTTATTCCTAATATGAGGGCCAGCACTAAAATGGTGCCAGCAATTATGCCTATTATAATATTGGTACCAGCAACACCTGGGGGGAAAAAAGAAACAATGAAGATCAGTGTATATAATTGAAATTTTGATATAAAATTCTTTCAGGAACTTTATTCTCCAGATCTGTAATCATCACACTAATAACATTATTTGTTTTAAAAAGTGGGTATTTTTTTCTTTGTACAGTTTTAATTTTAGAGAACTTTTTTTTTCAAATTTTATTTATTTATTCAGATATAATTGACACATAACATTATATTACTTTCAGGTGTATGACAATGCTCTGATATTCGTATATACCTTGAAATTAAAAGTAGGTATTTTTCAAGGGAAGAAAAATCGACCATAACTTAGCAATCCATATCCATTGTTTTTTTAAAATAAATAGTTATTTCTGTATGTTCCCTGTTAATTCTTGTCCAAGTGCATTTTGCACAGTTTTATTTTCCATGTATTTTTCTGGAAAATATAATAAGGTCATTGAACTAAAAGAAAGAAGAGTAAAGTTAAGGGGAAGAAAGGAGGGGTGATACTACTGTATCACCATATAGCGTAGCATCCTCTCGGGAGGAATATTTAGAAATCCATGTTCTTTTTGACCCTGACCTCTTTCTCAGAAATTCTAGAAATGCTGTTGTTCCTATCACTCCATTTTGACAACCAGTGTAAGGTCCTTATTTTGTGTGATATTTTGTCTATGTAAATATAAGCTTCTAAAGGGGGAAAACATGCCTACAGATGAACAGAATCAGGGCTCAGGGGGTGTAGATGATAGAAGACTGTAGTTCCCAGTCTTGACAGTAATGGCTGTGGCATCCTAGAGAAGGAAAAACCAAAGGTAAGATAGAGTCTGGTGAGCTGGAGGTTGGTGCTGGTGAGGTGTGAGAGCGAGGCTACACCAGACTAACAGGAAGCCAGGGCAGGGCTGGAGCTCAGGACTGGGCAATGGCACTGTTGTGTCTGGCAGCATCCACTGTCAGGCAGGCTGCGCTGCAATCTTTAAGGGATCACAGCAGTGAGAGCGGCCCAGTGAGTCAAAGGCCTGGACAATAAGTGCAAGTGAGAGCCCAAGAGCAGAAAAGGCCTGGCTCTGATACCAGGAGACCGGTTTTGCTGATAATGACTTATACCCCATGTTAAATTTCAGGGCTCTCACCCAGAGCAGCTCATACATCTCATTGTCTGCTGCACTCCTGAGGAGTCCTTCTGGACATCAAAGGTCAGTAATCATGGGTGACTGGAGCAGATTCCAATTCCCCATGACAGAAATGGCAGCCTCTCTATCTGGGAGCCCTCAGTAGTCACGGGGGATAGCATGGCTCGGGCATCTAGGAGACTGGCCAACTCCACTCTGCCCAGGTCTTCTGTGGGATGGGTGGGTACAGATGCACCCCGGGACATTGGGATTTTCCTACTCTAAGACCTAGCCTATCGGTGTACCCTTCCTTTCCTTCCAGGGATTTAACAGGGATCAATAAACCTGAATGCTATTCCTGATTACTTCTAAGCAATGGTATGACTTTTGACGAGTTACTTAAATCCACGGACGTGAATAGCTTCATCTCTGTTTTAACTGCTGGAACCACACTACTATTGCTAAGACTGAGGATGCCAAAACCCTAATCATTCTGTGAGTTTCATTATTAAAGTCACATTGGCTAAGATGTTTAACCTGTATGGATGATTAGAATGAAAATAATCATTTTCTCATTCTTTGGAGGTGAATGGACATCAGGATTTCAGCATTATTTTATGCAGAAGAATACTCAATAACGAAATGATAAAAATAGTTTAAAAGGGGACATTCATCTCCAAGGTATCTATCTGCATTTAATTTCTACTTCTCCATTTGGGCCACTCTAGCTTTTAGAACTGCACCCACTGTTTGTTACACATGTCGAACCCCTTCCAGGCACCTTGGCCAAGGTTACTACTTCTAGAATTACCTACAGTTCAGGCTACAGAACTGGAGTTGAATATAGATGAGGTTCTTTAAGAAAGAATATTAAAGTCAACAAAATATTTTAAAATCAATTCCAATTTTTCCTCATTTATTCAGTCCCAATATATAAACATATAAAATATATAAAATATAAAATCAGACACTTAAGAATTTTGACTACTTTCTTCATTGAAAAGAAATGGTAGGGTTTGTTGTCAGCACCAAATGAGTACAATACTTGGAAAATCTCCGTCTGATATAGGACAAGATCCAGCTAAATCAGGTGACTAAGTTATACTCAATATTTCATATCATTACAAGTTAATGGAAACAATCAGTTTCATAATATGGGCCCCAAGTGTATATCGTAATTCATTATTATGTGGATTTAACTTATATTTGAGTTATATAAGAATAATCGAAATGGAACTTTCAGAAGGGCAGTTTTCTCCTTCCTTGTGCATAACGACAACATAATGGGACCAAATTAAGTACCTACCATTGCCAGACAGAGTAATGCCAGCCTTTGCATCATCATTGTAAGGGAAGTAAGTGCTGCAGTCCTCACCTACCCAGTGTCTGTTACACACACACTTCAGCTCATTACTGCAAACCTGAAATCCAAAATCAATCTAGAGTCAATGCCAAGTCTCTGGTGCAGAGGCATGAAAAATAAACATTAATTTCTAATTATTATATGCCTAGAATTTGATGGTCCTGAAAATTTATTGGTACTTTCTTCCTACTACTACTTTATATCTTACTCAAGTACTTAAAAAAATATTTTCTAGAGATCAACAGTTGACCCAGAGGGAACAGTGAATTTTAACAGAGGAATGAATTTATACGTCTAAAACAAAAATCAATGAAATGATTGGTTTGAATTTCATTAACTCAAATTTTATGAGGGAGATTTAAAAAACTAAGCAGAATTATAATCATTTGCCAATTATCCAATACAAAGTTTTCTTTCTTCTTCTTCTTCTTCTTCTTTTAAAATAAATTTATTTATTTTTGGCTGTGTTGGGTCTTTCTTTGTTGCTGCGTGCGGGCTTCTCTCTAGTTGCGGCGAGCGGGGGCTGCTCCTTGTTGCGGTGTGCAGGCGTCTCATTGAGGTGGCTTCTCTTGTTGCGGAGCACCGGCTCTAGGCGCATGGGCTTCAGTAGTTGCGGCGTGTGGGCTCAGCAGTTGTGGAGCATGGACCTAGTTGCTCCACGGCATGTGGGATTTTCCCGGACCAGGGTTTGAACCTGTGTCCCCTGCACCAGCAGGCGTATTCTTAACCACTGCACCACCAGGGAAGTCCCTAAAGTTTTCTTTCTTCTAAAGAAAGGATCTTTATACCAAAATTTTATTCATCTTTTAGGAAGCAGATGAGATAAAGAGAAATCTGACAAAGAAGAGGGGAGGCCTGAGGCTTTGCAGTGGTCTGAGAAGAAAGCTTCACAAAACCGTAACCTGGGCACCTCAGCCCAAGCTCTAGAGATTAGCTACCTCAGGGTCATGGAAACTGAGAATTCCCTCAAACAGAACCTAGGAAAAAAATTCACATAAAATGGCACCAAATTTTTAAAAATTATCAGACAATAATGTCTTCATTTATATAGCCAGGAAACAGAATCTATACCTAAGATCCTGTGATTCAAAGCAACTTTGAAAGGAGTGGGAAGTAGGAGAGAATTCAGTTAGGGTTAAGATCAGAGAAGCGCTTCAGGAGACAGATTTTGACTGGATAGGTTTGTCTTTTGTCTGCTTGAATTTGCCAGAAGACAACATACATGCAGATCTAAATGTAACTATAAAATATGATTAACAAAGTACAGATTTCAAATTAATTCAGATTAGCAAATTTCTGCAGATTAACAAACATGCAGGAAGAAAAAAAAAGGCCTGGGTTTGAGACCCCACTTCACCACTATCTTTTCAACAGACCATAACGAGGCCAACTGGTTTCTCCAAGTATGTTTCCATATCATACAACAGCACCAGTGACATAGTGACAAGAACAGTGACACCAATGTACAATGATCATAATAAACCCAGTCATAGCTAATGTTATTGGACACTCACTATGTCACAAGGATCGTTTTAAGTATTACATATAAGTTACAGGTGTTAATTCATTGATTCTTCACCACAATCCTGTAAACTAGGCAATATTATTATTCCCATTTTACAGAGGAAGAAAGTGAGTCACAGAGAGGCTAAGTAGTTTGCCCAATCTCACCCAGTTAGTAAGGAGTAGAGCTGGGATTTAAACTCAGACTGATTCCAAGCCCATACTCTTAACCTACCTGATGTATACTATATAGAGAATATCTACTGTATTTCTCATTTTAATTTCTGTCACATATACAGAGTTATATTAAAAATACATAGAATATAACTTTTATAATAATTATGCATAATTATTAAAAATTATTGGATGCTATTTCCCACCTGATTTATTTGTGTCTATCACTCATTTACTCATTCCTTAAACAAATAGTTAATTGACACAACTGTGTTTCACACTCAGGACTTCTAGATGAATAAGATACAGTTATTCATTAGCATAATGATCAAGAAAGAATTCCATTATTCTTTTCTCCCATCCCCCCAAAAAGCATCTCTCCCTAGCATTCTCTTCTTTATTAAGGAAAGAAGACTTAGCAGATCTCTTTATAGGAGCAGAACAACTTACTACATGTCTTCTCTATTCTCCTGTGCCATCAGAATCCCTATCCTTTGGCAAAAAGTAACAATTACTAATACCTCCCTAAGGAAATTCTTGGCATATCCCTTAGGGATATACATGGAATGACCAGGATTGAAGGCTTACAATTCCAGGACAGGGGTCCTTTACCTCAACTGGATAGTATAACCAGTTTAAGCAAAGAATCCAGAAGGAGAATAAAAAGAAAATCATAGCACATGCCAAAAGAAAAAGAAGAGGAAGTTTTCGTTAGTGTACGAATTCCTAACTGAAAATGTCAAAACTGGAATCACTAATAGAGCATGTTTATTTAACCTATAAATTTACTTATATAGGACCTACATTATCAGATATATGACTTAACATATAGAATTTGGTCTTTTAAATACCACCATTCTTTCCATATATTTCTGAGAAACATTTCCTTAATTATTCTGCTTCTATTTCTAGAAGTTATCCTCAGCAGGTACCTACTGTTGTGGCCAAGGCAGTTACTTATGGTCTGTTCTAACCAGTCAGTGCCTGGATCATACCAGTTGTTAAATATTGTGGCCATTGCCCCTGCTTTGCACTCCCTTTTTTATCCCATTATAGTTTGTTAAAATTTGTCTCCTAAGTCACTTGTAGAAAACTAGCATTATATTAAAGATCAATTTAACCTAATAGGAGAGGAAGATGGAAGAATTTGGTCAGGAACATTAAAGTTTTTCATATCCCCAGGCTTTCACAGATTACACGGCAGACATATTCAAATGACTATGACCACATGACGGTTCACATACCAGCTAGAGAAACATGGACAAGCATGTTTTCGATCATTACAGAAATAAGCAGTTTAGGGTCTTGTCTGTTTCTGTGATATAAAAGGACTGAATAGTTCCCCATGGTGAGGTACTGAATACTTACTCCATTTCCTGAACAAACAGTGCCTTCTTTAGTGCTTAAACAAGTACTAAAGTTGAAGGAAGCCACAGGAAGACACCTGTGTTCTAAGCACATCATTTGGGGACCACAAGGTGTCCCATCTTCCACATAGCCAAGGTCTACATCTTCGTCAAGCTTAACATGCCCACCACTAAAAATAAATGGAGAGCAAAAAAGAAAATGGGATTCCGTGAATTCATTCATCTTGAGAACATGCTTAAAAACTTAAAAGTAGGCAATATCACTTTCTCTATTTTCTCTTTATTACTAATAAAAAACAGTAGCATAAACATTTTCAACCTTTAAATGGAGACAGAAATTGAATCTTTTGATCTAATTCCTTTCAGAGATATTGATATATCTTAAGATTTAAACATAATTATTATAACAAGGGCCTGAATTGAAATGGTTTTATCATTTTGCCTTGGCTATCACGTACAAGTCAAGTAAGCCATTATTACTAGCATTTGACTTGATAAATAAGTAGGTTTCAAGATGTCAAATATATTTCAAACAAGGATGAGAATTTTTGGTTTGGGTTTACATTTCCCAAAAAAGATTGTTCTATTAACAAATTACAGCTGACCTTTGAACAGGTGGGGTTTCGGAGTGCCACCCCCCCCCCCGCAGTCGGAAATCCAAGTTCCACGTCCACAGATTCAACCAATGGGGAGTTGTGTAGTGCTGTAGCACATATTTATTGAAAAAAATCCACGTAAAAGTGGACCCTCATAGTTCAAACCAGTGTTGTTCAAGGATCAACTGTATATTTGAGAAGACTATACTACTGCAACAGCTATTTAAAATAGCAAGCCCACATATACAGGAAAAAAAAATAAACAGGATAAAAATAAATAAATAAACAGGATGGGAAATGAAAATGTATATTCATAATCAATTTATGCATATGGTACCATGTCAGTGCTACTATAAAAATCTCCATTCTTTTTATTTTTAGCAAAATTATGCATGCACATGGAGACAAATTGGTTTTTAAAATGCAATAAAGTGATCCACTGCCCCCTACTGCTCCGTATTTCCCTCCCTGAAGGAAACCAGTTTCTACTCTTAATTGACTCATTTGTTTTTTATGTACATATCTTTAAATAATGAGTTTGTATCACTATTTTTAATTTTTCCATTTTAAGTATTATCAATTGACTTCCCTCTATGGAATTTGAGAATTCTTCTCTCCCCTACCTTCCATCACATATTTTGTTGATCGATAGTTAAATCAATAACAAATTGTGCATTATTATGATTATGTAAATGTTATTTAGTTGAGTGATATAGTACGCCATAATTAAACCCCTTTCTTTTCCTTGTACAACTTTCTGTTTTCCCTCAGGTTAGCAAGTCTCTTATTTGTTTGTTGAAGTATCACTACCTCAAAATTAGTCCAATTCTGCTGTCAAAATCTCCACTTAAGATGTGTCTGAACATCAGTTCACCTTCCTGAAATAATCTCTCCTGCAGTTTCCACCTGAAGTTTACTCTGCTCCTATCTGATTTGGTTGGCTCTGCTCCTGTAAATGGCTCAGAGCTGGACATCTTGGATTTCCCCTCACGATTCATTGGAAGATTGCCATATCTCTCTCCATGGTGAGTATCTTGTTTCCTAAATTCCCTGTGTTTCTTTCTTAGTTTACTTCTTCATTTTGTGCAGCACAATTTCTAATAGCTTCCTGAGAAAGGACATAGGGGAGTAAACTCGGGGGAAACTTGCATATTTAAATGTGACTTTATTTTCTACCCTCACACTTGATTCATATTTTGCCTGGGTACAGAATTCTAGTTTGGAAATCATTTTCTCCATTGTCTTCTGGATCCCAGGGCTCTTGTTGATAGACCCTAAACCATTCTAATGCCTGATCCTTTCTTTCTTTCCTCTCTGGAAACAGTTGGGATCCTTTTCTTTGTCCTAAGGTTCTGAAATTTCCTAACGATAAGTTTTGATGTGTCTCTAATTTCGCTCATTGCACCTTGCACTTGGTGAGCCTGGCAATATGGAAATTCAAGTCCAGCAGTTCTAGATAATTCTCTTGGAGGTACTCATTGCTAATTTCCTCCCTGCTGTTTTCTCTGTTCTTTATTATTTCCATTCCAAAATGGAGAGCTTTGCTCTATGTTCCCTTTCTTTGCCTCTTTGCCCTATTTTCTGGGAGATAATTTCAACTATTGAATTTAATTTCTGCCATCGTGTTTTTAATTTCCAACAGCCTTTCTTTTCTTTTCTTAATGTTCCTCATTTTTAAAAATAGCACTCTATTCTTGTTTCATGATAGAAATGTCTTATCTCTGATAAATGTTGATAGCTGGTTGTTGTATTTTCTGTTGTTGGTTTCTCCCCCTCTCTCTCTCTTTTTTCATGTTAGAGTCTTTCTTCACAAATCTGATAATCTGCTCATATTTGAGTTGGGGAACCAGACAGATGATTAGAAATTCTAGGACTTTCTGACTGAATACCAATGAGGCTGGACCACTTCTATACAAATCTGATATTGATATTTCCTGCTGTCCTTCAGTTTGGAAACCTTCTGTTTTATTTTTTGCAGACTGTAACACTCAAATCTTTCATGGGAGGGTGAGCAATCCCCAGTTTAGCTGCGTCAGGGAAGCAATCTGTGGATCTAGCAGCTTCTCTAACAGACTTCACCTATCTTCTTTATTTTAGCTCCTTTCCCAATCTCCAACTCGTTTACTCCCTCTTCCAGAAGTAGATGACACTGCCCATTTTTGAGCTTTTCGGGACTGACAGTATGTATTGGCTTATCTCTTGGTTTTCCCCATTACTGACTTAGGACTTCAGCTTTCTTAGTTTTTGTTTGTTTGTTTGTTGTTTATCTATTTTATTATATTTTTAATTGGTGTACAGTTGATTTACAATGTTGTGTTAGTGTACAGCAAAGTGAATCAGTTATACATATATCCACTCTTTTTTAGATTCTTTTCCCATATGGGCCATTACAGAGTATTGAGTAGAGTTCTCTGTGCTATATAGTAGGTTCTGATTAGTTCTCTATTTTTTTTTTTTTTTTTTGGCAGTACGCAGGCCTCTCACTGTTGCAGCCTCTCCTGTTGTGGAGCACAGGCTCCAGACACACAGGCTCAGCGGCCATGGCTCACAGGTCCAGCTGCTCCGCGGCATGTGGGATCCTCCCGGACCGGGGCACGAACCCGTGTCCCCTGCACCGGCAGGCGGACTCCCAACCACTGCGCCACCAGGGAAGCCCTCTATTTTTTATATATAGTAGCATGTATATGTCAACTCCAGTCTCCCAATTTATCCCTCCTCTCCCTCTTACCCCCTGCTAACCATAAGTTTATTTTCTACATCTGTGACTCTACTTCTGTTTTGCAAATAAGTTCATTTGTACCCTTTTTTTAGATTCCACATATAAGCGATATCATATATTTGTCTTTCTTAGTTTTGATAATCATCTACCACACATCTATTTGCTCTCCACGTTCCAAAATTTTGTTGCTGTTGTTTCCCCTCCCTTTCTCTGCTTCCCTGTGGATAAATGAATTCTAAAAAAGATCCATTTGGTGTCATTTTAGTGGGATTTCAGAAGGGAGCAAAAGAAGATGCATATATTTAATCTACTGATTTTACCCAGAAATCCTCTTTCATTTCTCTTAGTAAGAATGAAATGCAAACTAAACCCTGAAAGATTTTACTGACCAATTAAACATAACTCTAGCCACCATATAACATTCCGCAGTCAACTAATTCTCTTCTTTTCATATCTTTTCTGTCAGGATTTCCTTAATCACCTCTATGGACTAGAGTCCATTTCATCTTACTAACATACACATGGACTGAAAACAGAAGTAATCCTAAGCTATATTCCTGGGAAATAAGATGACTAATGTTCTCATAGAATGGTTAGACCATTACCTGCAGTTTAATGTTCTTGCCTGCTGTACAACTAAAGTAGATGTGATTTCACCATCGAGTTCTCCAAGCCTCGGGATATTACCAATGTTCGTACACAAAAGGTAACCACAAAGCACATCCCTGTGTCAAAAAAGTATGAAGTATTTACTTTACTTCTTTCTCCAAAGACATAACATAAAGTTAGAACAATAACCTTATCTAATTTTAGCATTTGTTTTTTATCAACAATACTATTTCCTCCAATTATAAGCAAAATAAAATGAGATCAAATTAGTTTACCCCTGCTTTAAAAAGTGTCTTCTCTGAAACTCTTGTTGGTGCACCAAAATCCCAACTGTGTTCTATCCTTTCCTTTATTGTCCATTTAGTATTTATCTAAAGGAAATTACCCATGAAATAGACTTTTTTTATATCCAGATCTCTTTCCCCATAACACATCACTGGATATACTAAAACATTTATAAAAATATTTGATAAGTGAATGAATGATCTTTGGATGAGTATTCTTTTAGAATACAGTGCTTTCTTCAACCTGTGGCACCAGAATTAAGGAAGAGATTACACATTTCATATACCTTGTAGATTCTCAACAACATAGGCTCTCAACAACATAGGCTCAACATAGGCTCATAGGCTCATATGTCACTACTCCCCCAGCTATCACATACAATTCTAGTTTAACTTGTAAAATATTTTCATTTGTGCTAAATACTATCTTACTTATTCTCTATATTTAACACATTTTAATTGTTAATAGAATAATGATAAACACATGTTCTAATAAATATCTTACAAAGACTGATTAGCAGGCCAGCAAGACTATATATGGAAATATTAGGCTTTATCAGATAGAAAAAGAGAAAAATTAAGACTTGTATCTATCACCAACACAGAAAAATATGTATTATTTCATTCTTGAAAAATATTTTTTTTAAGTTATATCATCATTTTATTATATCTATCATAAATGAAAATGCTTTCTTAACATAGAAGAGATATGCACTGAACATTTTTTTGTTGGAGTTTACTAAATACTTTAGGATATATAAAAAAATTAGACATGATTTTTATCCCCAAGGAAATTATACTCTGCATGAGAAGAGAATCATATACATTAAACAATTATAAAACATAGAGTTGGCAAAAAGGGCCATAAAAATAGTACAAAGGGCTGTGGGAGTTCAGTGGAGAATAGGGAGAGGATTTATTTCCAGAGTAAATCCAGAAATAATTTACAGAGAGAGCATTGTCCAAGTGGGGCTTTGAGGATGGCTAAATTTTTGGCTGGTAAAGGAGTGAGTATAGAGGGTGCTTCCTAAGGAATGAATAGCACACGCACAGGCGTGGAGGTAGGACAATAAAATGTATTAGAAATAGCCAGGTTTGCTAGACTTTGGAAGAGCAGAAAAAACAAAATATGTAGGTTGGGGCCAAATTGAGGAAGAGGTAGAGAGCCAAGCTAAGGTTCGATTTTGTTTGTTAAGCAAGACAGTACGACATTCAGCAAAGTGGTTAAGAGGGAGCTCTAAAATCAGACTGCTGGAATTCTAATTCTGCTTCTGTTATATCCTAGTTACATGACCTTGGTCAAATTAATTAACTGTGTCTCAGTTTTCTCCTCCATAAAACAGGGCAAACTGCCACAAAGATTAGATGATATAGCTTATGTAAAGTGTAATACAGTGCTTAACGCATAGTGCACATTCAATAGATGTTGGGTATTATTCTTACTATTAATTAGGTACATGGAACCAGTGAAATTTGAACAAAGAATTTTTGACATGGTCAAAAAGATTCAGGAAAAGATTATTCTGATGGGAGCATGCTAGAGACTGCTGGCATTGAAAACTAGTAACAGGCTGTTGTAATAGTTGTAGAGTTGATATAGGTCTTAGTTGGGCTAATACAATAGAAGTAGAAATGAAGGGATGCATTAAAGACAAAGGGTAGAGGAGTAAAAGAGAATAATGAACATGATTTGGCATTTGGACAAGGAGCCAGAGGGCAGGTGGCATCAGGGATCACCCTGAGGCTTCTGAACAGAAGGACAGTGAGATATTAAGACCTTTGGCAAAAATAGGCCTTTATAAAAGTCAGAGCCAGTTAATTCAATCTACCAGCACTGAGGACATATTCTGTTGGCTTTCATTTTTGTTGCCTTTGAGATGCTGACAGGTGCCTTCTAGGTGAGAAAGTCCTGAGGCAGCTATAGGCATGGCCTGAGCCTTAGGGGAGAGGTCAGAACGCGTGTTAAGATTTGGGAGCTTTCTGCAAAGGTGATGCTGGAACTGTGGGAAGAGATGAGGTGAAGAGAATGCTTTACAGGATGCAGAAAACAGGAAAGTCCTGGTCGTTCAAAAAGTAGTGCCTGCAACTGAGGTATAAACTCTAGCTAATTTCTCCATCTCACCGTTTGTTGCACTGTATCCATGTGTCTTTGTCTTTCCCACAGTTACCCTTCTCGGTGCCTTCAATATTCAGTTTCTCATAGCAGTATTTGTCTGATGCTGTCACCTCTGAAGCAGAATAGAGTTTTCTATCAGTGAGAGATACACCACATGAGTTGTTCAGCATGTCTGCAGTAAGGGGAAAACACGCACGACGGACTCTCCTTCACTACAATGTTATCAATTCCAAAAATTGTAGCTATGGTTCACAAGAGTTTCCTATATCAAAAGCATCCATCACTCAGGTACATTTTTCACAACTGCTCCTTTGAAACTTGGAAAACAAATCTATTTAGATCTTTGACAGGACTCAGGCTATAGGTTCTAAGAACAACACTCCTCAGAATTTGGCCAGTCATTAGGGGAAGATGCTACCAAATATTTCATTGAATAAATACTCAATGCTTTAATCTCAGTGCCAAATATAAAGCACGAATTTCTCACTCAGCAAGTTTTATGAATCATAAAGACAATTTTATTAAACGAGTGATGTACTATAATTAAAGATTCAAGATACAGCAGTATTTCCACCTTGTTTATTAATTCTTAACAGCTATCGAAAAATGTTACTCTACTTTTAAACAAACTTGAATTCCGGTTAAATCTCTGAAAGTCAAATCACATTTTTAAGTCATGTCAGCATCTTTGTCAGGATTATTTTTGCTAAAGCCAAGGTTGATAGGTGGAGCCATCCAAGAGTTAGATCAAAACGACTTTTGCAAATTACTCAAAGATGATTGTCGGTATGTATATATAGATATATTTTAAACTAATTATATTGGTAGTTTCTTTTCCTACTTCTTGCTGTCAGCCACTAATTTTTCTTAAGGGGAAGAAGCACAAACCATATTTCTTTGTCCAGAGCATAAACCTACATAACTAAATTTTTCTCCCATCCCCATGTTTCTCTAGTTGTTCCAAAGAGAGCATACACTTCCCCTCCCAAAAAGATTATAGCCACTGTTTGTGACAATTAAGGATTATCATTATATTTATAGCTTGCTTTCTAATACAAATCATCTCTTGGAAGAGATTAAAACAAAAACTGCTTTCAAAAGGGCCAGTAATACTTCTGGAAAATATATCACATTTAAATATACATTCAAGTTAAATATGTTTTAGATATAAATGTTATATGTTTCCCTCTGAAAATCTGATGAATTTTGAAAGAAATAACATTAAAATATCTTTATGATATGGCAGAAATACCTCAGCAGAAATTCACCTATAACTAGGAAAACCAGCTGGAGTTTAAGAAAGAGAGTTAAGGAAGAAAAAGCAATTCTAGCTAAAATGCTACAGTTCTTATCCAAGGGTCCATGTCCATTCCATGTGGTTGATGGGTTTTGCCTAAGGATGCTAAAGGCAGCATAAGAGGAGCTAAAACCCAGGTTTGCTCTATTCTCCAAGCTGCGTGCACTAGAGTGGACTTTACCTGCCTGGCAGCAAAGACACTTTCTGTCCAAAGACACTGCCAGCTAGCCAAGAGGTATGGAGCTGTATCTTCTCAAAGAAGGTGCTTTTCTCTAATTTCCACAAAAGTGCCCCTGCTAAGACCTGCAGTGGCTTTGAAAATCCCCTAGTCATAAAGTAGTTGAAAAATTATTTCCAGCTCACATGTCTTTGGGCCAGATACCATACTTTGAAAAGGATCAAGCCATACTATTTACTCACTTTGCCCCCAGATGTATTTGCATTGTCTATCCCTGGTTTTACATCTTCCTCCAAAGCAAATTCCCTAAAATGGAAAAGCGTACCCATTAGCGACACGACGTCCCCTTCTGTCAGATAACTGAAAAAGTAAATATGACTAGGAAAACTAGTAGATGAGTATTATAAAGGCCTTTTATCTTCAGAGTTGATTACAAAACATTTAATATGATCTTCCTACTTTGATAAGACTTCAGTATTTCTTTCCTGCTGGTACACGTGAAACATTTAGGTAAAGATGAAGTAACTTACCTGGACACCATCACAGGAATAACCATCCATCTTATGAATATTGGGGGCACACTAGGAAAAGAAAACAGAAGTATGAACCAAATGCACAGCAAAATATCAAGATGAGCTAATCCCTTTATAAATATTTTCATTTTAAAAATAAAGTCTGATAATATAGGATAGTCTCCCAAACCATCTGAAAATAAAAACAAACAAGATCAAGAGAAATCAAAAGGAAATGTAACAATTGGTGCATTTTCCCCTAAAAATATGGATCGACCAGAGGCAAAAGTAGTTGATTTGTAAATCCTTATTTACAAATAAAAAGAACTGACAGCAATGACTCAGCTAACTTACACAGACACACTATTCCTCAGAGCAAGAAAAACAAGAGCACAAGACAAAAGCAAGGAAGATGACAACAGATGGAGCCATAGGTATGGTTTCCTCTTTTTCACCATGAGAAGTAACATTGCCCTTACCCTTAAAATGACTCTCAAGCAAAGGTCTACCCTGGACATGTTAGAAAAAGACATGCTTTAGAGCCCACCCACCCCCTTTTCTTTCCTTGTAGCAATTGCAGAAAAGACTGCAAAGCATTCTTATGTGGATAGAAACAGAGTGTAATTTTTAAATTTATTATACCTCTTTTCTAGCATTATAGTAATTACATACTCATTTGAGAAAAGTTAGAAAATGTGAAAAAGTAGGAAAAATTAAAGTCTCTCATTTTCCTACCACCCAAAGACAACTATTTTTTATATTTTGGTACATTTTTTTCCTCTACCATTTTCTACAAAATGTGATTTTTTTTTTTTTCTTTGCGGTACGCGGGCCTCTCACTGCTGTGGCCTCTCCCGTTGCGGAGCACAGGCTCCGGACGCGCAGGCTCAGCGGCCACGGCTCACGAGCCCAGCCGCTCCGCGGCATGTGGGATCTTCCCGGACCGGGGCACGAACCCGTGTCCCCTGCATCTGCAGGCGGACTCTCAACCACTGCGCCACCAGGGAAGCCCAAAATATGATATTTTTAAACATAAGTGTAATCAAGTTATAGATAATGTTTTATATTCTGTTTCAGCCCTTTACGTTCATCATACAAGTTTCCTCACGTCATAATAAACTTTTTTGAAGGTATCATCTTGATAGCTGTAACACATTGCCCTGAGCTAACAAACCATATAATCAATGTACTAAAATATTTAGTTATAACTATCTCCAATTTATGCTGTTACAACCAACGGAACAGGAGCATCTTTGTACGTACATCATTTTCGGATTTAGAATTCTTTTAAAATCCCTGCTTATCATATAATCACATTTCAAAGAAGTTGCTCTAATATACTTTCATTCCCAGAGCCCATTCACTGTATCTCCATCATCACCAGGTGTTAGCTTAGAAGCATAATGCTAATTAGATAGTAGGAAAGGAAAGTACTTTTACACAAAAGATCTTTAATCCCTTAGGATGACTACCTTTAAAATAAAGCATTTTTAATGGTTAAAGTAGATATACCACTACTGAATCCCTCTTCTCTAGAGAAAAAAAGATGTGGGCAGTCTTCATTTGGCATGAATTTCACTCACACTAGAGCATGAATTTCACTCACCGTGGTTTTGTTAAACAACACCAGTACCCCAAGGACACAGTTCCAATTTCAGTTACCACAATAGATTAACTGTGAGTAATTGCATGAAGTACAAACTTTGCTACTAGCTCTTCAGTCCACTGATCACTAGGTAAACAAGAGATGCCCATCACAGTCAATGACCCATCTAGTCACTTCTTTCAAAGTCTGTTGGTGATTGCTCGCTGAGCATCTGTTCATTCGGTTCATGCACGGACAACAGAGAATGTAGATTGTCACCTCTCTCTCTCTGGGTGATACCATGTGACATCTTACAAAATCGAATAATTGAAAGAGGAAACTGGCCAACAAAGATGAAAGTGCACCAAAGAAATGAAAAGTGATGACATTGGAAGAGAAATTCAAGTCAAATGTAAATGGTGTGATAGAAAAAAATCACTACGGGAATGGAATGTTGATACCACTGTTCAGCAAAAACTTCCCGTTCACAACTTCACATCTCTTGGAGATATTTCAGGACATTGAAAGCACAAAGGATAAAATGTCAAAAGCTGATACAAACTTAGAAAGGAGTGTGGCAATTCAACAAGGCATAGAAAAGATGCTCACCAAGTGTCATAAGGTTTATGACCAGGAGAAGGTAAGCACCGCTCAAACTACTCTTGGTAAGTTTTTTAACAAAGAAATAAAATACTATAATTTTCAGTGTTTCTGTTTTAATTTAATATGCTAAATAAATGTTAGGATTTTTTTTTGTTTCCCTATTCATTTAAGACCAACAGTAAGAGAGTTTTTAATCATCTGACATTTTTTAAAGATCGCAGAACAACTGTAACTTTTTCCATTGATTACTAGAATAACTTTACGTGGTTTCAGCTTGCATGGTCATTTGTGTTCCTGCACTAATATGCAAAGTAAGGACTGCCTACATACATGTACACTGAAATCTGTGAACCCCTGACAAAGTTTATCAACTTCCCTATCCTCCCTATTGACAACTAAATGATATTAAATTCAAGAGCAGCTATTAGTGGCAACCTGTCAGATAAACAAGAGTCAAGACAGGTCCCTTTTCAGAACCCAATACCCCGTGGGTCTCTCTGCCTTGGCTGACTCCTGTTTCAACCAGCTGAAGGGAAAGAGTCTCTTTGATTCCTCCTTCACTAACTAGACAAAAAGCAAATGCCTTTTACCCTCTACTTTAAACAAAAACAAAATAGTTAAGGCACGTATGTATACAGTCTTAAATTAGTTCAACATTAAGACAAAATCACGCCGAACATCTGCTCAAGCTTTGATCACTGAAACTTCAATTCTCAAAAAATTAATAAAAGGAGGGTGAGAGTTGACATGAAAGAGAAACATGAGTATCTTGTCCATTTCCATTTCACCTGGGGGTCAGCACACTAAACATACTCCTACTTTTCCCCCATCGGGTTTAGAGAAATTATTCGTAAATTACCTGGCTTGAATTTCCTGAGCATGTTTCACGAATATCACAATCATTTACTGCTTCACGGCATACAGTTCCCATAGGCTGAAACTAAAATGAACAAAAATCAATGTGCAAAGCTGTCAAAGGAAAAAAACTCTCACAGTATCATCTTTAAAAAAAGAGAAATGAATATTTTTTTGGATAGGAATAGCTTAAACTAGTTTAAGATGGAAATCTGTGAAAACCACAGTTACTGCATGAAATGTCAACTTAATTGTTCTCAGAGTTTCTCACATATAAAGTAATTTGCATAGTCATCACACATAAGCCTTACAAGATCTTGTTAAAATAGGATGTGCTTGATGGTACATCTGTACCAGAAGGACAGTCAGTCCAAGTTCTAGCAATTCTTCCTTCCAAAGAGCTTTTGGATTTACACTTTACCCTTCATTCTTACTGGCACCTTTATCGTATTTTTCTTTTTTACCTCATCAGCCAAGAATTTGGAAGTTACATTTTGGACTGAATTGTAAAAGTTAGATTTTCTGGCAAAGCTGTTTCTTCCCATGCTTTCCTTTACCATCTTCTCTCCTGCCTAATTTTTATACAGATCTATAGCTTGGTCTTTTATTCCTTTTTTAATGTTTCTATTATTTGTATTTGTGTATGAGAGTTTTTTTGTCTGTTTTCAACTCAAGTATTTTTTGTAAGTGTGGGAGTTGTACAACTAAATTTTATACTTGTTGGATTCATAAATTGCAAGAGTATTCATTATAACAAAACAAAGAGATCTATAAAATTATCATCCTTCTCCTTCCCTCTTTAATCCCGCTCTCTTTCCTGCTCCAAAACGTTACTATTTGGGGAGGGATCCTTCCATGCTTTTATCTCTGCTCACACAAACATACACAGTATTCGGGACCCCTCCCCACCCATCCATACACACACACACATACAACTTTCATCTTCTCTCCCTTGTTCACGACCCTCCAGGCATTTCAGTTTCCTGCTGTCCATAGACCATGAGCAGCACACTGCCAACTGCAAGCAGGAGTTCAACAGACATTTTTCAGAAGATCAGAACAAAACTTGTGTTCGTTCATTCATTCACCAAATGTTTGCTAGGCACTTAAAATGTGCTAGGGACTCTCTAGCCACTGGAGACTCAGTGGAGAAGAAAACACAAGAATCCTGCTGGCAGGGAACTTACATTTCTGTGGGAGTACATAAGCCATAAAAATAAGGAAATAAGCAAGATAAGTTAATTTCATAAACTCTGGTTCTCTTCCTCCTTGGGACTGGTGCAAGCTACAATTCTAGAACTTCTGAGGTAGAAGTTCGAGCAGATTTAAGGTAGAGTTTATGTGAGAGTGTAAATGTTCAAGAACTGTCAGGAAACCTCTGAAAGAAAGCATAGTAAAGGAGAACTTGTTCTAAGTGCTGGGATAAAGCAGTAAATAAATCAACCCAAATCCCTGCCCTCTTGGAATTTACATACAAATAAAAGGAGAAAAAGAGTAAAGAAGTAAATAACCAATGAGTCCCCAAATTATGGCTTGAGGACAAACTTTGGTTGGCTACCTGTTTTTTTTGTTTGTTTTTTATTTGTTTGTTTGTTTTTTGCGCTACGTGGGCCTCTCACTGTTGTGGCCTCTCCCGTTGCGGAGCACAGGCTCCGGACGCGCAGGCTCAGCGGCCATGGCTCACGGGCCCAGCTGCTCCACGGCATGTGGGATCTTCCCGGACCAGGGCACGAACCCGTGTCCCCTGCATCGGCAGGCGGACTCTCAACCACTGCGCCACCAGGGGAGCCCGGCTACCTGTTTTTATACATAAAGTTTTATTGGAACACTGCCACACCCATTTACTTCTGTATTTTCGATGGCTGCTTTCAAAGAAAGAGTTGAGTAACTGAAACAGAGACCTTATAACCCACAAAGCCTAAACTATTAGCTATCTGGCCCTTTACAGAAAGTGTTTGCCAACTCTGACTTACAGATACATTATTATAAATACATACAGAAGAAAACAGAGATACATATGATTTCTCATCTTGTTCTTCCGTTCCCTCCTTTCCATTCACTCTTCTGCCTGACTCCTTTAGGGACGAGGGTTGGGGTGTGGTGTAGAGAAAGTGGCAGAAGAGATCTTACTTGACTGGTAAAGTTGTAACTTATATTCTGGGATAGTTAACCCTGCCATTTTATTGTATATTTTAATTTTATTATTTTGTACTTGTTCCTGTCAATGATTATATCACAAAGAGTCTAACTGTAGAAATCCAAGAAAAAATGGCATAATTAAATGCATTTTATGGATGGGCAGACTTAAAACACTGAGAATTAAAATAAATGATTGGGGATCCCTGGAAAGCAGTTGGTGGAACTGAGAGAATAAACAGTTGAGGTAGCCAAAATGAAAGAATGTCTGTTTAACATTTGGTTTAATCTTCCTTTTTTAGAGAGCGCTTTCAGAGATCTCTGCCTGCGCTTTGCTTCTATTAAAACGCTGCCAGAGACACAGTGGTAACGTGGAAACAACAGAAATTGCTGCCAGCAAATGTGGGATGTAACTGCACATTTATTCCTTACTGCTGAGGGAGCCTATGCAGGTTATTTCACTTCCTGGAGACTGGCACTGCTTATTGGAAAAATCTGGATAATAATGCCCATCCCAAAGTGTAGCCATGAGCATTATCTAAGACAGCAGTCTCAACAAGAGGACATTTGGCAATGTCTGAAGACATTGCGGTGTCATGATTTGGAAGGATGCTGCTGGCAACTAGTAGGTAGAAGTCAGGGATATTGCTAAATATCCTACAAGACGTAAGACACACCCTCACAATGAAGAATTATCTGGCCAAAAATGTCGACAGTGCCAGGGTTATGAAACCTGGATATAGGATGACATAATTTGAAAGTGCTTAGTACAGTTTCTGGCACACAGTAGGGTATTTAATATGATAGGTTCATATTTCACCCTCTCGTAACTCATTAAAGTTAGTCAATCAGCAAATAATCAGTAAGAGAGTGCTGTGCATATTTATTCATTCATTCAACAATTATTTACTGAAGACCTGTACCAATTACAGTGTAAGTGCCTGGCTCTGCCTCCATAAAATGTACAGACCTGAGGGAGAGGGAGATATTGAACCTCAGAAATAATGTAGAATATTGTACCAGATTTTATATGAGAAGAGAAAAAAGATAGATTTCTTTGAGCAAGGTAAGCCCCAAGTAACTGTAGTCTTGATGGAGAGGCTTAAATATTTGGGGGCAGGTATAGGATACTGTTGGGAGGATGAAAACAGACAAGGTGGATAACGATGCATTAAACTCTCATGCACAACACATGAAAGGTGTTTTAATGTCTAAAGGGATTTCTTTTGTTCCCTCAACAGCTAATGCAAGAGAAATACCAAGCTGAGCACCAAGAAGGGAAGGATCTATTGAATATCCATTTGGCTTTACAATAAAGGAAACACATCATTCAAAAAATAGTTTCATTTAAATTATATTACATTTGATTTTTATTATTGTTATTACATATATATGATAGCACATTAAATGGTTTCATTTAATGTGCATGCTCCTCAGAGAGGCAGTAGAGAGAGGACAAACTCTGGGGATTACAAACATTCAGGCCCTAGCTCCTGACTTGGTATAAGACCCAGGGAAAACTACTTAATCACTACAAGCTTCTGTGTTCTCATCTGTTAGATGGGAATAAAAATAGTAACTACTCCTGACAAAGTTTGTGAGGCTCCTGTAAAGCACCTGGCACTTAGTCACTCAACAAATGTTAGGTCTTACTATTGTTATTTGGTTATATTTACCTAGCCTTAACAATTTAATCAAATATGTCCTCTTTTCTTTCAGCTGGTTATTACTCAACATTTATTTACCTTGCACTTTTTACAACAAAGACCATCACTGCACTGGGAGTCTTGAGTCAAGGTGCATTTCTTACAACACTCTGCTCCTTCAAGGACACATTCCTAAGGAATATAAACATTTGCAAAACGTCAGAGAATGGTGTCATTTTCCTGAAAGTACCAGGATATTTTCTAAAACCAATGTACAGCCTCAAAGTAAGCATCCTTCTTCCACAAATCTTATGAAATTTCTAGGCATAACACTTGCTCTTCATGTTTCAGTGTGTGAACCTGGAATAACCCCGAACAACCTAAAGAAATCATCCCAACACCCAGAGACTTACTGCCGGGGTCCCACAGTCACACTCCTCTCCAGTTTCAATGAAGCCATTGCCACACTCAGGAGGATCAAGAAGCTGTGGAATGAAAACCAAAAAGGGCACTAAAATGCAGAAAAATCAACATCAAAGACCTTACGAGAGACCACAAGTGCCACACCTACACTTCTGGCCTATCTGTCAGTCATTCCAAAATATATTTTTATTTTCCTAAACTGCAAAGTATGACTTCAGAATTTTAGAACTGGAAACTTTAGAACATAGTGTCTAATATTGTTTCCATTTCATATTTAATCATATTTTCATATATAACATACCTATCAAGCAGGGTCTGATAAGTGTCATCAAAATAAAAGATGATCTTGGCATTGACTAAAACCAAGCCAGATGGACTCCTGAAATTTCATTTCAAACAGGACGCAAGGGATTTGGAGTCAGACATCTGGATTCAAGTTGTGGCTCAGCTACTTATCTTGCGCAAATGGCTTGCCATCTTAGAGCCCAAGTGTTTTCGTATTTAAGACAGGAATAATAATAATATTGGCTTCCCATCTACTTAATGAATTGTTATAAGGATCAAGTTCAATTACCTGCGAAAAGCCCTTTATTAACTGTTATTTCCTTGTGAAACAAAGTTTTTTCATGGACAATAAGGAAAACATCACAAAAATTAATAAATCTACTGATTTATTTAATATAAAATACAACTCTTCCTATTAAGATAGCTCTGCAGAGAACAGCAATAATAATTTGCCCCAGAGATGGAAGCAGTTTTTGGCCTGTACAAGAGTATATTTTGAGACTTTTATATTTTTTAACTTTCTGCTGATTTTATTATCTTTTGAGTATAATTTATCTTATGGTGATAGGTAAAACTAGTAAATAGTAAATAGCTGCTATGTTCCATATATATAATATTCATTCAAAAGTTAATACAAGTTTACATATTATAGAATGGAAGTGAGTACACACCCACATGCATGCACGCACACACACACACTTTCTTAACCAACTAGAAGGAAAAAACAAGCAAACAAACAAACAAAAAAATCAAGAAAGCAACAACAAAAGTCCCCACCTAATTTCAAATACTCTCTCCTCTCCTACAAAAGAATCAACTCATCTCTAGATTTCATTTTTAGTTGAAAGGATCATAATGAATGAGGCAGCTTTGAAAGCCAAAACTAAAACTCTCCAGCTGAAAAAACACAGTTATTCTCTTACTCTGGGTTCAGAATAATCAATTAGTTTGGTTAAAAGACTTGAATTGTTTTTCATTTATAGAAGCAGGAATTTAGTTCCAATATCCCTTCTGAAGCTTTTGGAAAGAGTCTTAAAATTGTCAATTTGCTTTTCAGTGCAGTATGAAATTTCCTAAATTTCACTGGAGTGAACAGAGAATGAAACCAGGTAAATGATTACAAAGGCAATGCCACGTATCACTGTGATGTAGGGAAGCACTTCATAGTTCACATAATTACTGAGGATAAAACACTCTTCTTTAACATGGGAAGTCTTCCAAATGTATGATGAAGACCTGTTTTCTAGTCAGTAACCAGAGGATGCTCAGCAAGCTATGAAAGCCTCTGACAGTCTCAGTACAGACCTTCTCCTTTTTAGCAGACTTAGTTTTTATATTGAGAAGTGTTGTAATTTTGATAGTTTTTATATTGAGAAGTATTGTAATTTTGATCATACTGCTCATTCTGAAAGGCAGTGGTGGGGAGTAAAGAGGGGAGACAGGCGTCCTTTTCTACCAGTATGAATTGTGATTCGGTATCCAAAGGCAGGGGAGGGGGAATGTATCAAGAACATGAAAAAGAAAGGCAAAGTGAAACCATTTTTGTAAGCTAACCCTGAATCCTCATTTGGCCATATAAAAAGAAAATGGACATTTTTCAGAAAGCAAAACTAATTTCTACCTGCTTTTTATTCCCATCAGAATAACCCCAAATGCCCAAGATTAATTCAACTTAGAAATGTAGATATTTAGTGTATCTAGAATGTGTATATATAAGCTAGTTGAAAAGCTTTCTTCTATAAGACACAATGAATGAAAATCTGTGTTTACAATACTTTAGAAAGATTAATAACTAATAACTCTGATCACACTTATTACCTTAGAAGGTTTGTTGAAAAGGCAGGCACCACCTCCACTATTCAGGAAGTCATGATACTCTTCAATATTACACTGGGTGAACTTTTTAGGAAGATAATAGCTATAAAAGAGAAGAAAAGCAATAGCTGGGTACAATTTTAGTCTCCCTTGTTTGTAGATTAGTCTTAAAACTGAACACTGTTAACATTGTACATTATTCCTAAAAAACAAAAAAAGAATAAATAAATAATAAATTGCACTTATGTATAACATTTGCATTCAATCCGTAAGAGTTTATTCAATAAGCAGTTTTCTAAATTCTTCATTAGGTGGCTAATAGTAACTACGGTTTGCTCATTATCTGCATATCCATTCCAAGGAAACACACCTATAGTACCTGTAATTTCCATCAAAGAGAGTTAGAAATAATTTATTTCACAATGAGTCTTTCCTAAATATTAAACCTGGGCTGGAACCCAAACTGCAGGGCATTCTGCAAAATAACTGACCTATAATCTCCGAATGTGTCAAAGCCATGACAGTCAAAGAAAGACTGAGGAATTATTCCAGATTGAAGAGAACAAAAACTGACTGTGATGCCTGATTCTGAAGCGTTTGCTAAAATGACATGGAAGAAACACAGGGCTGATCTTGAATGAGGGATAAGAATTAGATGATTTTCTTGGTGGTATTGTGGTCCTATAGGAAGATGCCTTTGTTTGCAGAAAGGCACATAAAGTTAGGTATTTGGAGGTGATAGGCACCATGTAAAAACTTGCAATTCAGAGACAAAAAGGTTCTTTGTAACTATTCTTCTAACTCTTCAAGTTTCAGACTGCTTCAAAATACAAAAAAAAAAAAAAATTATACCCCCCCAAAATAATCAAGGGTCAATAGAAAAAAGAAACCTCGCGGTAGAGCAATTTGGAACTATGCATTAAGAATCTTCAGAATGTGAAATATCCTTAAATCTAGTAATTTTACTCTCAGAAATTTTTCTTGAGGAGTTGATTTGCTATGTGTGCAGAGATGTCTGAATAAAGATATTTATGGTGGCACAATTTATAGTAGCAAATAACATGAAAATAATCTAAATGTTCAACAGTAGAAAACTGTTAACTAAACTGTGATATATTAATAAAATAGAATACCATGTACTTATTAGTATTCATGGTAGTGTTAAAGAATGAAGGCTCAGAAAAATGCTGACTATATATAATGTTAAGTAAAAAATGAATAAACTGTTATATGCAACATAATCCTAATTTTATAAAACAGTAAACATGTAAAGAGAAAAAACTACTGGATTTATTTTATTTTATTTTTTAGCCACGCCACACGGCATGCAGGATCTTAGTTCCTGACCAGGGATCGAACCCATGCCCTATACAGTGGAAGCACAGAGTCCTAACCACTAGACCGCTAGCAAAGTCCCAAAACTGCTAGATTTAAGCAGCAGTATTTTAACATTAACCACAGTTGTCACCCAATGGTGAGAAAAGAGGTGATACAAATTTTATTTTCTGTATTTTTCAAAAATTATTTTACATTGAGCTTTGTATAAAAGTGAAAACACAATTAAGATAAGAATGGAAAGTCTCTCCCACTAGCCTGTCCGTTTATATGCCTACTTCTTCCTAGCATAACGATTAACGCTTAAGTGAACTGACTAATGGAATTTACAATTATTTACCCTAAACTCATTTACCAAGTATTTCATGCCAAACTCTCCAAATAAAGTTGTCTTGGGTTTAAACTGTCTGAACTACTTTACTTCCTTTGCTTCATTTTCCTAATAAGTCATAAACTTTATTATTTTAAAATTTTCTTATATATATTACTTCCTTTTTGCTTTTCAGTGCCTACACTTCAGCCAATGTTTTTATCGCCTTATCTATAATCCATTGTATATATCCCTGTCAGGATTATGGAATTTAAACAGGAATTTCTTCAAGTTCCCTCTTTATTCTACTGGTCAAAATCGGAGGTGGTTCTCTACTGCTATAGAAGAAAGTCACTGATTTTCAGTGTTGGACCCTTAGAAGTCAAAGTCTAGTTCAGCCCCTGCCCTGCAAAGGCACCATCAGGGGGTTCAGGTTAGCCCAGCCTCCCGCCCACTACACAGCTGGGAGCTCAGTCTGCTCTCCAGTAGTGACAAGAAACTCTTCCCAGATAGGGAAGCTCTTTTTACACATGAAGAGCTGAAATCTGTACATTGCACTTACCTTCCCTATGCCACATCTGACTTCCTATAACTGCCGCACACAGTCCTGTATTGTTAACTATATCAATGAGACTAATTCTTTACCATACCATGGCCCTTCCAATACCTGAAAGCAGATACCATTTCTCTCCCTAAGCTTGGCCCCAAAGCTTCTTTTTTGCAGGGTAACAAATCTATTCAATGCATTCTTACATTTTTAATTCTTATACCTTTAAATAGGACCGACAGTCTTCATTTCAACAATGCTTTCCAACATTTAACAATACAGAGGAACTTCAGAAAGTAGAAATGGGAGGGAATTTACCCATGGGAAATATATGTCCATAATTAGTGCTGATAGGTGATGTTTGGCACAGATCAAATGATATCTGACATCATACCAGACAATGTTTTATGTAAAGAGCTTTTCTCTTGTATGCAACTATTTGATGTAAGGAGTTCCAATGCAAAGAGCTACGCATATTCAAGTGTAGCCATTGATTTTGCTGCATATTATGCTTAGTGCTAAGCAGATTGTCTGTATAATTCTTTTAGTTAATCAGAATAATCAGACAAGATTAAAAAACAAGAACCTCTAGCATGGAATTTAGTAATTGTTAGAAAATTACAACTATAAAGACTTTTATCATTTCTTCTTAATACTAAGCAAAAAGTCCAAAGTTTGTTTTTTTTTTTTTTTTTTTTGCGGTACGTGGGCCTCTCACTGCTGTGGCCTCTCCCCTTGCGGAGCACAGGCTCCGGACGCGCAGGCTCAGCGGCCATGGCTCACGGGCCCAGCTGCTCCACGGCATCTGGGATCTTCCCGGACCGGGGCACGAAACCGTGTCCCCTGCATCGGCAGGCGGACTCTCAACCACTGCGCCACCAGGGAAGCCCAGTCCAAAGATATTTTGAAAAATATTTGCATGTATATTCCCTCCATCATCTATTCTTCTTGTCATGCATATGCTGGGAGTTCACATTTCAAATACAATCAATACATATTTATTGAAAAACAAGTCTGTACAAGAGAGTATGGTGTGAGGTCTGACAAAAATAAAAATTAGTGCAATATATAATCCTAAAAAATTTACAAATTTTAATTGGTGTGAGGAAACAAAGACATACAGAATCAAATTATAATGCAGGAGTTAAAAATTATAATAAATCTCAAGTGGTTAAAAATGTGGTTACATAGAAAAAAAACTGAGAATTCCAGATGAAGAGAATATATTAAAGAAATCAAAAGAAGCTGGAAACTCATGTACAATTATGATGAGCATATTTTTCAGAGGCTGAACATCCGTGTAGGATTACGGTTAACAAATCAGAAAAGGTGGAAACCCATATACAATTATGGTAAACAAACTGCATAAATAGTAGTAGAAAGTGAGATTGCAAATGAGTATGAAGAAAGATTATGGACCTCTAAATACTGAAGGAAGGAATGTGAACCTTATTCTTTACACAATGGAGACACAAAAGTTCTGAGCAGGAAAATGACATGATTCGTCTGTTTGACATAAAAATTCATGTGCATTAAAAGAAGAATGGAGAAATTGTGCTGTACACATTCAATGAACTAGAGCTGTATATATATATATATATATATATATATATATATGTACATCAGCATGGATGAACCCCACAAACATAAAGCTGATCAAGAAAGTAAGTCACAGAAAAATAAATATAGTATGACGCCTTTCATATAAACTGAAAACATGCAAAGCCATGCTATGTATTACTCCAACACACACACACATACACAGTAAAAGTATAAAAAAGGACCTGTGAATGATATAGACCAAATTTGACCTGTGAATGATGTAAACCAAATTTGACCTGTGAATGATATAAACCAAATTCAAGATGGTGGTTACCTTAGCCAGGGTTGGGAACCGATAAGACAGAACACAGGGGGATTTAACAGTGCGGACAGTGTCTTGTTTTGTTTTTATCTAGGTGATCGTATACAAGTGTATACTCTTTTATTCTTTATACCTTTCAATTATGATGGAAGTGGAGTTCAGGAGGGGAGAGAGGGAGCCTGAAAGCTGTGTAAGTAGCTGGAATGTTATCAAAATAATAACAGCACAAGATAATAAAAGTTTAAAGTAAGGTGGTAATGATAAGCTTGGCATGAAAGGGATGGCTGTAAAATTTATTTAGAAAGAATAAAAGATTGATGCCTGATAGTGTGTCAAGGGTATGACAGTATAAAAATGAAAACTTTTCTTAGGAAATGGACTGAGCACACCACTTCCCACTCTTAATTCACACAGGTAGCTTGAAATCAGCTACTGTGGGAGCATTTACACCATAGGCTTCTACATAAGGTAGAAGGCTGCTGGAAATCTGAGAAAACTACTCATCAGGGCTCTCTTTTGTTTTTGCTTTTGAGACACACTTCTGTTTATAACTCATTTAATTAGAATAGAAGAAGATAAAAGGAAAGGGAATTAGAAAGTAAGCCTTCAAGAACAAAGTTGTTGCTCATTTCTTACATTTCCAGACTAAATTCAAGGCTAAAAAGTCTTTGATCAAACTACAACAAGGTACCACCTCACACTGGTCAAAATGGCCATCTTTAAAAAATTTACGAATAACAAATGCTGGAGAGGGTGTGGAGAAAAGGGAACCCTCGTACACTGTTGATGGGTGCAGCCACTCTGGAAAACACTATGGAGGTTCCTCAATAAACTAAAAATAGAATTACCGTATGATCCAGCAATTCCACTCCTATCCAGACAAAACTATAATTCAAAAAGATACATGCACCCCAATGTTCACAGCAGCACTATTTACAATAGCCAAGACATGGAAACAACCTAAATGTCCATCAACAGATGAATGGATAAAGAAGATGTGGTCATATATACAATGGAATACTACTCAGCCATTAAAAAGAACGAAATAATGCCATTTGCCGCAACATGGATGCAACTAGAGATTATCATTCTGAGTGAAGTAAGTCAGAAAGATACAGACAAATACCATATAATACCACTTATATGTGGAATCTAAAATATGACACAAATGAACTTATCTACAAAACAGATTCACAGACACAGAGAACAGACTTGGGGTTGCCGGGGGGAGGGATGGATTGGGAGTTTGGGATTAGCAGATGCAAACTATTATATGTAGAATGGATAAAGAACAAGGTCCTACTGTATAGCAAAGAGAACTATATTCAATATCCTGTAATAAACCACAATGGAAAAAATATGAAAAAGAATGTATATATGTATGTACACCTGAATCACTTTGCTGTACAGTAGAACTTAATGCAACACTGTAAATCAACTATACTTCAATAAATTTTTTAAAAAAGAAAGAAATGCTTTAAAACAATTATTATATTTCCCTGAAGTTGGTGGAATCATATATCCTGCATGCCCCTGACTCACCCCATTTCAAATTCCCCCAGCCAAAAAAAACACTTTGACCTACTAGCTTAAAGAACAGCAATTGTTTTCATAAATAAGAGACTATTTAGTGAAAATATATTCCCTACAGAGCCATTGAGAATATCTACTTCCAATTTTAAATGCCTGTGGTAAGGTTCCAGGCACTAAGTTATTGAGTGTCATCCTCCTAAGAAGACAACAGCACAGCAGAGAAAGGAACAGTGAGTTAGTTTTAAATAGAAGTGGCTCACCCAGTGTCTCCCATTATGCATCCAGACCACGTGTCCTCACATTTACACTCACCTAAGAGAAAATGAATACACATGCCTTGTTACAAAGTGAAAACAGATGCATTAGATAGTTACTATTTTAAAAAGTATATGTTCTGTTTTATGTAAAGCATAGCAACAAAAATCTATTGTACTTTGACCCTATCGAGCTTATATCATTTTTACTAGAATAAAATCTTTTCATATTTTAACAAGTGGCCATATTTGTAAAGCACTCACTTAAAATGGCTTACCAATCAAATACCAATGAAATAGTGATGTACCACTACAGGATTCTGGTTTCATAAGCCTTTATTGGAATTCTAACAATTTCTCATCCATTTTTAAAACCTCTGCACCCAAGGCTTCTGGTAGAAGGCAGTAGAGTATATTGGTTAAGCAAAAGGTCCTCAGAATCAGAAATACCTAGGTTCAAAATCTGGGTATGCCACTTAATATATGTGTAATCTTGGAGACATTACACTTTTAAGATCTAGTCACTTTATCTGTAAAATGGGAGCTGATAATGAATATCTTAGAGGATTATCTTGAGGATTAGATGAGCATCTAGATGTATATAATTCTGGCATTCAATTATCTGTTATATAATGGGTACTTCATAAATGGTAATAGTTGTAGTTAATATAAACGATCATATTTATTACTAAAATAATACAATAAATATGATTATAATCAACTTACTCCAAATATATAGTGTTTATCCATTCCTGGTAAAGTAACTTTACCTACTTGGGAAAATATATTCATCATAGATGCTAAACCTGGCATATTTTACTAGGCCCATATTGTATTAAGCCCTTTATCAGGTCTGATCCTGGCAGGCAAATTCTACCTCTGTGGCAATACTAAAAGATGTTTTAAATAAACTGTAATAAAGTAGTATGCCTTATGAATAACTTATATTAGCATAGGCTTAGTGGAAATGCTTGGGTTTTGGAGTCACACAGACCCACCTCTATAACCCACCTTGTGAACTTAATGCAATTTACTTCTAAGTTTACTCATTCAACGACACTGGTTTGAACACCTCCTACGTGCCAGGCTCTGTTCTTAGCACTGGGATACATAACTAATCAAAATAAATGGCCCTTTCTTCAGGAAGCTCACATTCTAGCACAGGAGACAGTCAATAAATAATAAACCTGCAAAGCAAATGACTTATATGGTACAAAAATACAGAAAAAAGAACAACAGTATGCCTTAAACCTTTATGCCCAGACCATTTAAAATTACCAAACTGAAATTATGTCCTTTTTTAGATTAAATTCAACTGTGAATTTAACATCACCTGGCTTTAAATGTTTATTATACATGGAGAAAATTCATCTGTAATGTAAATATTAACATTTGTATTACTTTTGGAAAAAAAAAATTTGTGTCCTGGGTATCTTTATATTATCACTTAAACTCTTTTGATCTATCAACTGAATTAAAGAATTTCATTCTCTAAAATATTTTTCAGATAGTCTACTTTAAATACAACTAAACCACACATGTACTTAAACTTACCGCTTGCTAACTTTCTTTTGTCTGAGATAATACCAATATTATGGGCTAACGACTGGGCAAGTGTAACTGCCATTAAATCCGTTTTCCCAAACTGAAAGACAAAAATAAAATACTTGTAAATGCAAATTATTTTTTATTTAAGATGGGCCAGAGAAAATGTCACAATATAATTGAAAATAAGTAATTTATGAGCATTTTATTTAGCAGAGGTTAAACACATAATAGCTAGTGCTGAACTACTAAGCATTTGGGAAGAAGTAGTAACAAATAAATTCATGTTTGACTAAGTCTTACAGAGAAGACTAGAAGCCAGGGAATCATCGACTTTCAGATTTGGAAACTTACATCTAATTTTGGGCCCAAATTTCACCGGTGACATTCCTGAAAAACTGAATACTTGTACCACAGTTAAGCCAGTCTTTCAGATAAGAGAAAATAAAATAAATGTATAATTTATTTGGAACTTGTTCATCCTTGTGTGTCCACTAGCACTCCTAAAATCCCCAAACTGAATAGAACTTGGCTTCAGAAAACCAATGGTATGAGTCATAGGAAATGGTGACGATCTTTGGCCACAAGAAACTTGAAAAGACCTAGGGATATTTTTTTCGATATGCAGCCTCCCAAAGATTCAGGTATTTTTCTTTTAGATCACTTCCATCAGGTTTAGTGCCCTAGGGGTAGAAGTTAACCCTTTGGAAAACCTAGTCTATTTTTTCCTCCAAAAATTTGCCAAATATTGAGGAAGACAATTTTCAATTGAGTTCTTAAGTAGTAACCCAGTGCTTCAGGGAATTACTCAATTCTCTGGAAAAAGAGTCAACGTGATAAATAGGGCCTTATTTTCAATAAAGGTAAAGGTAAAGATTTTCTCTATCTAATCTGTATATAGCTAAACCTGGAAATTATTCTAAGTAGAACATGAACAGAATTATCCGATATTATCTTTCCTTATTTCCCTATTCCGGCCTCTGGCACTAACCATGTTGGTTGTTAATAAAATAACAATATCTGGAGTATGTGGAATACTGAGAAACTGTCCCTTAAATATTAGGAAAACATCATCAGCCATCATATCACTTTGTATCTTACAGATGTTCACACCTACTTCATTCACGCCTCCTCCTTTCAGCAACGAGCAAATCCCACCAATATAAGCTGCCCCGCTCCGGCTACTCTCAAATTGACTTCCCCTTTCAGAAAAGGAAATGAAAAAGGCTTACTGCTGACAGTCCACATATCATAGCACCTCTCATTATTAAGTTACCACATTTATTTTCTCAATGCACATACATTTCTCTACTATATACTCCTGAGGTAAGGGAGGAATATGAAAATTGTTGGCACGCATAACCAAAGGAAAAGGTTTCTGAGGAATGTTTCCCCACATGATCAATAAATATCTTAAATAGAACTATACCTATGAAAAAAGGATCTCTAACATGAGGTACACTTACGTGGTATTTCCATCAAAAATGCATATAACTTGAATCTCATAGTGAGAAAACATCAGACATTCTCACAATGAGGAACATGCTATAAAATAACTGGCCTATACTCTTCAAAAATGTTAACCTCAAAAGAGACAAAGAAAGGCTGAGGAAATATTTCAGATTAAAGGAAAGTAAAGAGACGTGACGATTAAATGTAATGTGTGATCCTGGATTGGATCCTGGATTTGGGGAAGGGTTGGGGGGTAGCTATAAAACATTATTGAAACAATTGGTGAAATCTGAATACAGACAGTGGGTTAGATAAAAACATTGTACCAATGTTAAATTTTCTGGTTTTGACAGTTTACTGTGGTTATATAAGAGAATGTCTTTATTCTTAGGGAATATATATGTAAGTATTTAGTAGTAAAGGCCTAGTAAGTAAATGTCTCCAACTTACTCTCAAATAGTTCAGGAAAAAAAACAAAAAAAGACACAGATAGATAGATGCAAGGAAGGAAGAAGGATAGAAAGAAGAAAATCATAAAACAAATGGGATAAAATGTTAACAATTGATGAATCTGGGTAAAGGGCATATGGTATTTCCTTGTATTATTCTTGCAATGTTTCTGTAAATTTGGAATTGTGTAAAATAAAAAGTTACCTCAAAAATACTCTTTTACTTCCATTTGCAACTTTCTTCAACAGCTCTGGCTTTAGATGGTAGGTTTTTAAATTGCTGCAATTTATGATTTGCTCTTATATCAAATATGCAGGTTACCCCCCAGAAAAACCATAAGAGTAAGAAAAAATAAAAAATAAAATGTACCCTAGGTATACTAAGCTCTCCCCTTATATCAAAAACAAAGATAACATTAACATTTAAAAGACAGCAACTTTAAAGAATATATAATAATCTGTTGTTAAGAATACTCTTTATGAGAATTAATAGTAGTTTCATTCAGTAAATGCTCTGATTAAATCTCTTGAAAAAAATTATATGAAATGTACATGCAATAATAAAATAACTCAAAATTAAATCTATTGAATATTCATGACAGTTTCAAACAATCTGTACTCTAAAACTTCTTTCAAATATATCTGCCACATCAAATCCTAATTGCATTATGCAGTAGAAAGAATACATCTCATCCACAAGTAATACAGTATTCAACATGGAATTAAAAAAAGTAATAAATCATTACAAAAGTTACGTACGAAAAAAGGTGAACTGCATCACTTTTCTCTTTGATAAAATCCCTCCTGTATTTCATAAATTCACGTAGGGTGATCAATGGATTTTCAGATATGGCAAACTTGTTGTCAGCCGCCCAGGTTTCCATGGCAACCAATACTATCCTTGTCTTAAGTTGGTCTTTATATATCTAGTATATTAACAAAATGAACACACAGCTATACATGTGGTAAAAATCAACTGATTTATGAACAGGACTACAAAGCTCCCTTTATGGAAACTCCTCGAGTTTTAGCTAAATGTGAGAAATTCCACTGTTTTTAGGGGAGATAATTGTTTTTCTAACTTACATGCATTTCCCTTGAGTAATAGAGAATCCAATTGTTTACCAAGTCATAACCAAAGAATAGAGTACTAGTAGAAACAAAATATTGCTTTTTGACAAATCTTTGCACCCTTGCTCAAGGTTCCCCCAGAGTCCATTTTCTGGCACCCTATAAGATTCACATTAGCAAAAAGTGGAACACTCATGAAGGAGATAATTTCTGTACACCCTAGCTGGCCCTAATTAAACTCATGGGGAAGGTACTGGCATTGCCTTGTCGGGAAGATTTGGAAAGTAGTTTCAGTAGAATTATTTAGTTGCAACTTTCCCACGGCACCAGGCACTCTTTTGAAGAGGCACAACTGTTTCTCCATTGCTAGAACTACACTGTGAATATCTTTGTTAGGGGCTACGACTCAACCTTTTCTTTTCCAGTGTGAAAAATACAGGCATAAAAATACAGGCATAAATACAGGCATAAAGATACAGGCAAAAATACAGGCATAAAAAACTTCAGGCATAAAGCTGTAACTCTGACCACTTCCTTTTATCATTTTCCCAGCCAGAGATCAAAGTCAATATAGTTCATGGCAAAGTTACCAGGGACTTAACAGGACACCTTGGCTAAAGTGCAATTTAGGGCAGTGAAAATATAAGAACATTATTCGATTTATTAGCAATCAGGAGATAAACTTCCTCTGTGGCAATACTGAATCGGGTTCATACTTACTAAATCCGCCAGGTTCACCACAGATTTCGCATAGGTATTGGTAAGTACCACTGAAAGCCGATGTTTCTTAAACTGAAAGCAAAAGAAAACAAGTGAAGGGCTTCAAGATCATCAGCAAACACTCATCTCAGCAGAGGAAATACGGTGTAATTGAAAGGCCTCTAAAGCTTTCTGTAAAAACTGCAAGTTGACACCTAGTTCTTTAGATGCTGCGTAGCCTGAGGCAACGCTCCTAAAAGTTTGAGGCCTCCTAAAAGTTTGAGGCCTTACCTCACTTTGACGTAAGGTAGAAAACACCCATTCCATCCGTTTCAAAAGTTTATTTTTTATCACAAGATTGTTATTCAAAATGATAAAACATATGAAAGTTCTTGATAAATTGCAAGACATACAAATAAAGGTAGGGTGAAAGCCAGAACAACTGAATGTGAATAATGCTGAAAGTATAAAAAGTTCCACAAGACTTACTCAGTAAAGAGAAGAAAGCCCTAATGGTCACGAGGAGGTGGCTTATAGGCTTGATGTGAATGACATATATCTTTGGTTTGGCCTCAGTGCTGTTTTAAAAATCAGGAAATATCATGATTTCTGGCTTCACTCAAAATTAGTATTCCCCACATGGTAATCACTGGCCAGGGCTGAGAAGCAGACTCTCCCGTTGGGCAGACCATGTGACTTCTCTTTTGCCACAGGCCTCACCCCTCCCTATTGTTTTATATCTGGCTCACTTTATTTGAATTATCTGCTACAGATGCTTACAGACATCTGAATTTATGATATCCTAAAATGTCTAAAATATGTGTTCTTGCAACTTATTTTTATTCTGTAAAAATCTCAGGAAAAAGTAACATTCACGAAATCAAATCGGTAGGAAGATAGAACTTAGTCCTACCCTGAACAAGGAAGAAGCACTCAATAATAATTATCATTATTAATTAATAATCAATGTTATTAGTTTAATCATATTTAAATAAATGACACATTTTCCCCCAAATAAATAATTCAAAGTAAATTAAAATGTATGTGTACCTGAAATTAAGTAAAATTCAGCAACGTGCATCACTGAATATTTTTAGTTTAAAACTCTGCCCATGAATTGAGTATACAACGTGCTCATAAACTGAATATACAACATGCCCATGAATTGAGTATTAAAAAAAACCTGACTCAACAAAAAAGGAAGTTTGGCTAGGTTTTTATCCTAAAAATCTTCACTGCTTGGCTATATAAGGTATTTTTTTTAAGTGTTATTCTATATTGCAGCATATATTGATTAACAATGTTGTGTTAGTTTTGGGTATATAGTAAAGTGATTCAGTTATACTATACATGTATCTACTCTTTTTTAAATTCTTTTCCCATTTTGGTTATTACAGAATATTGAGCAGAGTTCTCTGTGCTATACAGTAGATACTTGTTGGTTATCTATTTTAAATATAGTAGTGTGTACATGTCAATCCCAAACTCCCAATCTATCCCTCCCCTCCACCCTTTTCCCCTGGTAACCATAAGTTCATTCTCTAAGTCTGTGAGTCTGTTTCTGTTTTGTAAATAAGTTTATAAGCCTTTCCAAATGGTTTACTACATAGCAAGACAGAAATAGAAAAATTGCTTTCCATTTATTAGGATAAAGCTGTACATTGCAAACTAAAGAATCACATTATTGCTGCTTCACTTTTTCAATATAAACGGAAGTTTCCCTTTTTTTTTTAACCTTGCGATTTTTGTAAGAGAAGATATTAGCCCCTACATTAACTAAGTGAATCCAAAGAGTTAACATTATGAGTCACAGAAATATTTTTGGAACCTCACAAAATACTGTTAATTGCTTTACCTAAGAGTGTTTCCTACTTACAGGTTGTTGCTGGGTAACAGACATGTTTCTGTATACATATACCTTCTCCAACTTACAATTTTACGGACTTCTTTCTTCTAAACATATTCCTGCACCCACTAGTTTTACCCCAGGCACAGACAAGTTCAAACAACACAAAATTCAGCAAATCCTACCATGAGATGATCATTCACAATCATCAGTTCAATATATTTGGTTTCCTCCTCTATGTTACGAGGATATCGACGAAGCTGCAATATGATAAAGGAAATAGCTCGTAAATAAGCCTCCAATCTTGGCTATGGGAAACTTATGTTACATATTAGATTCTCAGATATTATCCCTCTTTTAGCTGAAATTCTGTACTCTTTTACCAACCTCTCCCTACCTAGTTTCCCCCACTACCTAGCCCCTGGCAACCGCTTTTTCATTCTGTCTCTATGAGGTTTTTTTTTTTAGAGTCCACATGTAGGTGATACGATGCCATATTTGTCTTTCTCTGTTTGGCTTATTTCACTTAGCATAATGCCCTCCAGGTTCATCCATGTTGTCGCAAATGACAGGGTTTCCTTCTTTATTAAGGCTGAGTAATATTCCATTGTGTGTGTGTGTGTCTGTGTATATATATATACATTTTCTTTGTCCATTCATCCACTGATGGATACTTACATTGATAACACTATATTGTATAATTGAAATTTGCTAATAGAGTAGAATTTCAATGCTCTCACCAAAAAAAAAAAAAAAGGAAATACATAAGGTGATGGATATGTTATTTAAATCCATGGGGGGAATCCTTTCACAAATATAATGTATATCAAATCATCCTACTGTATACTTTAAATATCTTACATTTGTCAATTATACTTCAATAAGCTGAAACAAATTTTTTTAATTAAAAAAATTTTAAATATGGGAGAAATAAACAAAACAAAATTTCCCCTTTTTTTTTTTTTTTTTTGTTTGCGGTAAGTGGGCCTCTCACTGTTGTGGCCTCTCCCGTTGCGGAGCACAGGCTCGGGACGCACAGGCTCAGTGGCCATGGCTCACAGGCCCAGCTGCTCCACGGCATGTGGGATCCTCCCAGACCGGGGCACGAACCTGTGTCCCCTGCATTTGCAGGTGGACTCTTAACCACTGCACCACCAGGGAAGCCCTCCCCTTTTATTTATTTAGTATTTTTTTCATTTTCATCAATTTACTTAGTTTTTGAGTGAGTAATAAATTTGCATGGTTCAAAAATTAAAGAATTATGAAAAGGTATAGGATGAAAGTTCTCCTCTCACCTCTGTCCCCCATCTACCAATTGCTACTCCTTCCCCCACAATGGGTACAGCACAGTTACTGGTTTCTTCCAGAAATATTTATGCATATAAAATCAAATATGAGATATATTTTATTTTGTACTTCCACTTATCTCCTTCTCTTTTGCATCAGTCTATTTTCATTTAACAGTATATCTTGGAGATTATAACACATGGTTTAAGCTCCTGAGAATCTCTGAGAGTTCTACATAGGGAGTGGAATGATTGACACTTTTACTATATAATCTCCAAATCAGGCTCTGAGACATGCCCCTTCTGCTGATAGGCTTCAGAGGATGCCCCAAGTGATATATAGGAGCTCTGTTGGGATAGTTTGGAGAGCTCTCAGGCAGTCTTTGGTTACCCCAGTACAGCTATATCTGTCTGTTCAACCACAAATTTTCTCCACCTTCAAAATCATGACCAATGAATGGTACTGTCAAGAGTCACGAAGGCAGCCACATCCTTTGGTTCTCTGAAATTAGTCTATAGCACAATCTTTAACAAGATCTGCAAAATTAACTTCTTCCTTTGTGCCATACTTTGACACACATTTAGTTTTTCAATAAACCTTTTTGTTCACTTGCCCAAGGGCCATTTTTGTCATAAGGGTATACAATCAAACCTAAAAAAATACATGAATGTTCGAGTATTGCATTTAAACTAAAATATTTCTGCCACATGGATTTTGTTTCATTGCTAATGCATTCCCAAATTCTAAAAAACTTTACTTTTCAAAATCCCTTAAAACATCAAATTAATAGGAAATAATAGACTATAATTCTGGTTTTGGAATCCAAAAAATAACATAAACTGCATCCACTGACAAGAGTTTTCTTAATGGATTTTTTACAGATGTAATACTAAAATAAAATTTATATCAATTATTAGAAATCAAATTCACAAATGTATAAATAATAAAACATTCCTAGAAAAAAAAGAAAAGGATGTTGTTAGGATGATAGTATTTGCTTTGTTAATTGTGATAGAGACCTGAGCCTTTCTAACAAGTAGACTTATAACAAGTCCCAGTATTTTCTTAGTGTCAGAGAGTTGCCATATTGGCCACACGGTTTTATAACACCTCGCCTCCAGGGTCCACAGCTTTCTCATAAAGAGAAATCAAGGGTCTGTCTGCTTAGCAAATCACTGGATGTTGCAGATGTTTATGAAGAACTTCAAGGATCATGTCAAAAGAAAATCATCCCATTCTCTTGGTTCTTAAGTCATGAAAGTAAATACTGATTCAAATTAAATCCTGACGGCAATTACTTTTATCTATTTAACTGGGCTTCAATATATGTGTACATTCACAAAACATATAGAGCTCATAGTAGTAATTCATGGGACACAACAGCTTCTGAGAGGCAGTATGTAATGCATACATGGTTATAAGCACTGCTCTGAGACCAGACTTCTAGGTCAGAATCCCAGCTCCACCACTGGGTAACCCAATGTAACCCTGGGCAAGCTTCTTAAGCCTCTTATGCTTCAATGTCTTTATCAGTAAATCAGTGATAATATTAATAATAATCCCCTCCTCAAAAGATTGTTATGAGGATTAAGTATGTTAATACAATTGAACATGGTGAGTACTCAATAAAATTTAGGAATTATCATTCATATTAGAAATCTGTATGTAAACACATTTTATTTCATACTTACTAAACACATATTAAAAAGAAGATACTTCATTCCTTCAACGGCTTTATCTTATTAGAGATCTATTTCTCTCATCCTATTTTTATGCCATACACACACATTCATACCAACCACCACCACAACTGTCATAATATCTTAATTCTGATGACCAGAGTTCTTATTTTGTCTAAACTATTTACCAGCTCTACGATTCTGGGCAAGTCATTTGCACATTTCAGAGACATCATTTTTTTTTTGCTGTGAAAGGGAAATAATAGCACCTACTTCACGTGGTTAAAAGCACTGTATGAACTTTTCTTATTATTAAGTTCAATACCCTTTGAACATTCATAAAGCAGACATTCGGATTTTATATCCTAGACTCCACAAAGTATTGATAGCTCAAGTGTGAAAATACCATTTTGTGGCTTCAAAACCTGATGGAGTCACTCTTAAGGGGGTATCTTTAAGGGGATAAATACAAGGACGTGTACCACCCAAGTAGACTCCATGTTGTGGTGTACCCCCAGGCAAGGAAAGAGGCCTATGGTAGAAAGAACCTGAGATGCCACAGCAGGGGCCTCATAATCCGTCTGTATGATGAATGACCATATTATCACCCCTATGAGTGCTTTTGAGTCTATGAAATAATATGGCCCCAACTCCACTGCTCCTACGAATGTGTCACCCTTCTTGTTTACCACACTATAGCAAATGCCTGAACTAATTCTTATCCCTCACAGACTTCATGTAGATTAAATTGATTGGCAGTTGCCAAATGTTTTTAAAACATCATGACATATACCTGTGAATACATACCTGTCTTTTACTCCGTTTTGGTCTTGGCTTCAAAATAAATTTTGGTGGAGTGATGTTTACTTGTTGGAATTCTAAAAGGAAATAAAAATAAATTAAATTTAACTTAGTGCATTTGCCAGGTTTTTTTCACGAAGGGTAATCAAAGTTTTACTAGCCCTTCTTAGTATAAATTATATAACTGTACTTTAATCATCAATGAGTATTATAATTTATAAATTACAGAATTATAACTAATTATGAATTTTATAATATATAATATTGTGCTTAAGGAAAATACAAAACATTGATCTAAGTAACTGCATTCATATTAATACTAAATAAACATACCACGAAGGAATACAATTCAAAAAAATCTCAAACATTACTCCTGTTCTAATTTATCTCAAAATTTTTCTCCAAATTCTCCTACAAATACCATCACATTTTTATGGGGAACTGTCTGAATAGCCACTCGACCTTCACTTCCACCATTGACCTTCACTAAAGAATGACACACCAAATGCTGGTGAAGATGCGGAGCAGTTAGAACTCTCATATAATGCTGATGAGAGTATAAAATGGTATAACCACTTTGGGAAAACGTTCTGCAATTTCTCTTCCAACAGTAGTTCTTAAATTGTGATCCTTGGACTAGTGGCATCAGCATTACCTGGGAACTTGGAAATGCAATTTCTCATAACCCACCCAAGGTATACTTAATCAAAAGCTGTAGAAATTAGTGCAGCCACTATGGAAAACATTATGAAGGTTCATGAAAGAATTTAAAAGAGAAATACCATATGATCCAGCAATCCCACTTCTGGGTATATAGCCAAAGGAATTTAAATCAGGATCTCAAAGAAATATCTGTACTCCCATGTTCACTGCAGCATTATTAACAACAGTCAAGATACAGAAGCAACCTAAATGTCCATCAGTGGATGAGTGGATAAAGAAAATATGATATATACATGCAATGGAATATTATTCAGCCTTAAAAAAGGAAATCCTGCCATTTGCGACAACACAGATGAACCTAGAGGACATTTTGTTAAGTGAAATAAGCTAGACACAGAAGGACAAATACTATATGATACCACTTATATGAGGGATCTAAAATAGTCAAACTCAGAGAAACAGAGATTAGAATGGTAGTTGCCAGGGGCTGCGGGGAGGGGGATATAAGGAGTTATTAGTCAAAGTGCACAAAGTTTCAGTCATACAAGATGAGTAAGTCCTAGAGATCTACTGTACAGCTTAGTGCATATAGTTAAGGATACTGTATTGTATTAGATTTCATGTTAAGTGTTTTTATCATCATCATAAATAAAGAGGGCTCGAGGAAACTTTTGGAATGGATGGATATGTTTACGGCAGAGATTGTGATGATGATTTCATGGGTGTATATTTATCTCCAAACTCATCAAGTTGTATACAGTAAACATATAAAGCTTTTTGTATGTCAATTATACCATAATAAAGCAGCTGAAAAAAAAAAAAAAAACCCTAAAGACGAGGCCAGCAATCTGTGTTTACCAAGCCCTCCGGGTGATTCTGATGCATGCTGAAGTTTCAGAACAATGTTATACAGTTAAACATATACCTACCTTATGACCCAGTGATTTCACTCCCAGGTATTTGATAGAGAAATGTAGACGTGTGTCCACAAAAAAGATTTTTGACAAGAATTTTCATAGTTGTTATAGTCATAATAGCCCAAAACTGGAAACAATCCAAATGTCCATCGACGGAAGAGATAAAAAATTGTGGTATATTCATACAATAAGAACATACTCAATAATATAAAAGAAAGAACAATTGCTACCCTCAACAACATAGATCTCAGGCATGTGCTAAGCAAAAGAAACTGAACATGATGCATAATTCCATTTGTATGAAGAGCTACAACAGGAGAAACTAATCTATGGTGAAAAAGTCAGAAAAGGAACTGCAGAAGTGGTGGCACTGACAGGGAACAGACACAAAGGAAGTTACTGGGGTAACAGAAATGCTCTATATCTCACCAGGGGAGAATATGGGTGTCAAAACTCAGCAAACAGTATACTAGTTTTGTGTATTTCATCATAGTAATTTTCTATTGCAGTACAATTGACATACAATATCATATTAATTTCAGGTGTACATCACAGTGATTTGATATTTATAGAATGTATATAGTTTGAAATGGTTAGGTAAGTCTAGTTACCATCTGTCTCCATACAAAGTTATTACAATATTATTGACTACATTCCCTATACTTTACATTACATCCCCATGACGTATTTATTTTATAACTGGAAGTCTGTACCTCACCACCTTCTTCACCTATTTCACCTGGCCCCCATTCCCATCTGCTCTGGCAATCACCCAACTGTTCTCTGTATCTATGAGTCTATTTCTGTTCTGTTTGCTTGTTTTGTTTTTTATTGTAGTAATTTTTAAAACACTGAGGGCTAAGTGGTCAGTGTTTAAATAAATAAGCTGTTCTCAAAATGTGTTCTTAGGAATACTAGTCCTGAGAGATGTGTCAAATGAAACAAAACGTTCCACAGTCAAACACGTTTGAGGAGCACCTGATCATATTTCTATCTCTGGCAAATACATAATGCATAGCAAAAAAAAAAAAAAGACATAATATAATCCATAACTCAGTGACACTATTAAATCTAAAATAGAAAAGCTTCCTTTTGAGCTTATATCACAAAAATTGTAGTTTTAACATTTGTCTATTTTTTGTTTCCTTCTAATTTGTCATAGTAAATCTAAATATGTTGAGAGACAAATGACACTCAAAATCAACACTGTAAACTTCTGATAAGAAAAGAAAACCAGTAACAAACTGAGACAGACTTGAGTTTTCAAAGAATATGTTCAAAACTCATTTTTAATAACAGCAAAACTGCTGAGTCACTTCCAAAGTTTCTGTTGTAAAGAAACCCTGAACAAAGTTTTTAAAAAATTATAAGATTGTATCAAAGCAAGCCTACAATAAAGTCCTTAGGGGGGACTCTTTATTTATTACTTTAAATATTAATTAATGTTTATTGTTTCCAGTAATGTCTATATAAGATTGTAACTTTGTTCTCAGGCAGCTAACCATGATTTATTTTCTTCCCATAATAGGGATTATAATAAGTTTCATAAGATAACGAAGGAACAGTCTAAAGTTTCCATGTAAAGTAAAATCAGCTAGCTATATGCTCATTTGCAGATTTTTCCAAATAGTGAATTCTATAAAATAGGATCTTCTATTTCTTTGGCAGCAGGAGAAAAGGGGGTGAGTTCTGTTTCTCTTCGGGGTAACCGCAGAAGGTCAAGGAGTTACAAGTTTGTTTCAGAGAGGAAGGAACATTAGAAAACACTTATCTCATTTTCCAATGAGAAGACAATGCAGCCTTTAAGTCATTTTCCTAAGTAGTAGTTTAGGGTTTGCTTTAGTCTAGTAATTTTTCCACTTGCCCTTGTGCCTCTCTCCCAGGGTACATTCTCGTAGTGCCATAATCCAAACCCCCACTCAGCCCCTTACTAGCTGTGGGACCCTAGAAAAAACGAACTAGCTGAGCTTCTGTTTCTTCATCTATAAAATGGGAATGATAATATTGACCTCACAGAGCTGTTGCAAAGATTAAAAAGAGTTTAAAAATTAGAATGTACTATGGCCATAGTCAGGGCTCACTAAATAGGGGAGGAAGCATCTCCACGTCAGATATTCAAAGTGTGCCCTATCTTTAGAAGGAGAACATGAATGAGTCTAGCATAGCCAAAGATAAATGCACTCTGCATAATCATTGCTCCACTAATGAGGCCAAAGCCTGAGTACTCTGCCTTTCTTGCCAAGACAAGACATGGATGCAACTCTCCAATCAAATCTATAAATAGATGGACCCATAAACACACATGGGAAGGAAGACCAATTTCACAAATAGCACATCATCATAATAAATGTTAATCTACAATAGTTCTTTCTTAAAATGCTGGGGCAAAAAGAGATGAGGAAACAACAAACGGGAAAATAATTAAGGGTGCATCTCTATGTTTACAAACTCAGTATTTCACCAAGAATGAATTTTATATATTCTATGTATGCAGACCCATTTTTGCTTTAACAGTATTTCTCTTGGAATACCTTACTTTGAGTCTTATAATTTTAAAGAGTTTTCCTTCATCATGTTCAAGCTGTATCTTTCCAAACTCATCCACTATAAACATGAGGTAGGTTTGCATTTTATTCTCTCTCTTGATGTTACTTGACTTTCTAAAACTGTTACGAGCAGTCACAGGCTGATGATATTCCACATATAATTAGCTCTAAAGCATTAAAATGAATTACTAAAGTCTTTTTTTTTTAAATCACTATAAGAAGATCATACCAGATGGAAGATCATCCAAGGGAAATTCAAACAGTCTGGATTTGTAAACCGAATGAAAACGGAAATCCTCCTGAAACAACACAAACAAGAGAGATGAGGCAGGGACAACCAGATATCTCCAGGCTCAGGCAATCATAGCTGGAGGAGCTTAGACCTTAAAAGAACCGTCGCTTGACTATGCATTCTCTTGGGTTTGGAAAGGCGAAGAGCCATTGCACAACCCCTCCAGCTCACTCCTGTATTCTCCCAGCATCAGAGTGACAGCCCATTAAAAGCAAAACACCTTCACAGACAGAGAAGCCAAAGCCTGCAGTAATCAAAAAGAAATGAATGGACCTATTCCCCCAAGGAGAAGCAAGACGCCTGGGGAAATGGGTGAATGTTTTTTACAACTGGTTCCTTTCCACGGAGCCCTGCCCCCTTTTAGAGCCCGATAGCTTTGTTAGGCACACTGCAGAGCTCACAGTCTCCCTGTACTGGGGAGCCGGATGACTGGAACAAGCAGAACGCCCAAAGCAGACCCTGCCTCAACATTCAAGTGTCACATAAACTTCTGCGAAAAACCAACAGATAAAAAGCCATGTTTCATCTAAGAAAACTTAATGAACATTCAAATAACTTCATCTGGCTTCCTTCAATTACCAAAGAAAGAATGTCATGAAGAGTCAAGTTTCATATTACTTTTTAAAAAAATCACGCTGTCGGGCTTCCCTGGTGGCGCAGTGGTTAGGAATCCGCCTGCCAATGCAGGGGACGCAGGTTCGAGCCCTGGTCCGGGAAGATCCCACATGCCGCGGAGCAACTAAGCCCGTGCGCCACAACTATTGAGCCTGCATTCTAGAGCCCGCAAGCCACAACTACTGAGCCCGTGCGCCTAGAGCCTGTGCTCTGCAACAAGAGAAGCCACCACAATGAGAAGCCCGCGCACCACAATGAAGAGTAGCCCCTGCTCACTGCAACTAGAGAAAGCCCACACACAGCAACAAAGACCCAACACAGCCAAAAATAAATAACTAAATGTATTTAAAAAAAAAAAAATCACACTGTCAAGCAAAGTGACAGGACAACTCTCAGTGGGTACCCAGAAAATAACACACAAAACAGATAGTTTCCCACACAAGACTGTTTATGAGTGGCAAAACAATGTGTGTTTCTTGAAATTATTTGCCTCTCTAAGTGTTTGATCAGTGTTCCATGATACATGGAAGAATATCTGTGTGTACAGAGCTAGGATGGAAGTGCATTATGTTTCTCTATAGTCAGTAATAGTAACCCTTTTCTAATTTGTGAAAAATGAATGTTTCAACTGAAGTGAGAGAGAGAATTGAGAAAACCCAGATTTCTCTAAACTTCATCACCACGGGGCCTTAAAGAAAATGGGCAATAGAGAAAAATTTGGAATCTAGAAAAGAAAAAGGTTGGAAAATCACATTATCTATGGATTCGATCTGTTACGAACTGACTATGTGTCTCCCAAAATTCATGTTTAAGCCCTACACTCCTAATGTGATTATATTGGGAGACAGGCCCTGTTGAGGATGTGATAAAGGTTAACAGAGGTCACAAGAGTGAGGTCCTAATCTGATAAGGCTTGTGCCCTTATAAGAAGAGGAAAAGACACCAGACCTCACACTCTCTCTCTGTCATGTGAGGACACAGTGAGAAGGTGGCTGTCTGCACCCCAGGGAGAGAGCCCTCAATGGACACTGACCCTGCTGGCACCTTGATCTTGGACTTCCAGTCCGCAGAACTGTGCGAAAATAAATTTCTGTTGTTTAAGCCACCCAGTATTTTATAATGATAGCCTGAGCAGACTAAGACAGACCACAGCACATTATGGTGGAGATAGAAATGAAGGCTTCAGAACACCTCAGAAGGAAAGTATTTCCGACTGAATCAAAGAGTAACAGGCAGATTTTTTTAAAAAAGATCACTGTGATTTTGCCTTATTCACTATTTAATTTAAATGTATATGTGTACATATTACACATATATATGTATACATATATTCCTGACCCTAAAATATGAAAATAAAGCAAAATAGAGAGAAAAAAGAGGGAAAAAAAGCTCCCAGCATCAACATTTACATTTGCCACAGCAAACAGAAGGAGCACTTACTTGGGAGGTGTCATTTCCTTCCGGCTCGATGAGATAGGTGTGGTTCCCATCATAGAACATCCCACTGCCAAGGACAAGAAAATACTTAGGCCTGGCAATTGACTCTTGCCTCAGAACAAGATCATTTTAAAGTCAGCAGCAGCCGGAGGACCAGTTTACTTCTCAATGCCCACTTCCCAGTCCCACCCATCACACGGGGTGCACACCACATAGCACACCCCCCCCACACACATACCACCCACAGCACACATCATACACACTCACACACACCACACACACCACAGATCATACTCACACACACTACCCATACCACACACACACACACACACACACACACCACCCACATACCATACCACACACACACACCATTATACCGTACATTACACCCCACAGCCCCACACATATACACACCACATACCACAGACACTCACACACACACCACACAAGACACACACCTCACTCCACGTATCTCACACACACACATACATACACACACATCATATACATTTAATAAGACGACAAAAGCTGCAGGAAGAGCAGAATAGGGCGGGCACAAGGCAGCAGGATGCAGGGAACAGGGCGCAAATCTGAAGTTCAATTCTGGACCTCACTGGCTAGAGGTGATTGTCAGCCAATTGGGAAATCCTCTGGAGGGCATCTTAAGCTACATATGGCCTCAGCTCCCACTCGGAGAGATCCGATAGCCGTCCCTTTTAGAGTAATGTGGTTTTTCTACTAAGATCAGGTCCCTTCGGATACTGAAGGAACTTGTGTTACCACTCAGGTGTCTGAGGGGGGTGAAGCTGTGATCTTCTGCAGTCACGTTCCAGAGTTAGGTGGAAACGACTGCATTATACCCAAGCTGCTAACCATAGAATAGTATGTGTCTTTCATTGATCGCTTAGCGAAATCGGCTGGTTTCCTGAGCTATAATTATAATGGCCTCCAGCTCCGTGTCCATCCAAATTTATTCACTCCTGCAGTAACATCTTCCACATGTCCTCTACTTTCACATACCATTAGAAATGCCCTTTTCACATCTGTAATGTTTTCAACCCAAAGTGCACTTTCTGAATTTGGATGACACTGCATTTGGAATTTAAAGATAAACAGATGCAGTTTGTAAGATATTACTGACAATATATGCCTAAGGAATCAGTGAAGGGAGCATTTTCAGAACAGTAGACACCAAATATGGCAGTGAACATTCTGCTGATAACAGGCCAGACCCAACCAGAAAGCTGTACGAAACCATCACCCTTTGCCAAAGTTCACATGGATACACTGATTAAGTAGCAAGCAGATTGTTTTGTTTAAATAATATTGGGTACTATTTCCTTTTGAATTAGGTTAGTATCCAATGCAAAAATCAGTTATTTTTTATTGGATTTAAACATCATGATACATGGTATAAACAAAGCAGATTCTGACACCATCCATGAAGATTCTGGTTCCCTAAATGAATTATTATTATATTTTTGTCCCCAGGGCATGTGGAACTTCCCGGACTAGGGATCGAACCCATGCCCCCTGCACTGGAAGTATGGAGTCTTAACCACTGGACCACCAGGGAAGTCCTGGTTCCCTAAACAAAGATATGCCATTTTTGATTCTTTAACAATTAAAAAGCATGTGTGTTTCATTTACTTTGTTTGAGGATTGAAAGCTTTCTGTTACATTTATATAAATTCCAAATAGTATACTGAGTCCATCACAGAGTTTATAATTGATAAAATCCTATAGCTAGGACCAAGTCATTACCGGCCAATTGATTGAGCTAAAATTTTAAAAGGCTGCATCAAAACAAGATTTTGAAAGGAAATGTCATTCATACAAATTGCCACAAGAGGGCAATAAACTTACATTTGATTCCATTCTTTAATGTTCCCATAGTTAGAGGATTTTGTCAAAACATCAGACATACCAGGACCAAAATATTGCCCATCAGTCCTTCGAATTTGAAAAAAAAATGTGCTCCTGCAGGTTCTTTATGGAAAAGATATGAGTTAGATTATTTTACCCTTTATGTTCTTTAATGGAATTCAGTAAATCAAGAAAAATGAAAAATCTCAACATGTACTTGGTCATTTATAGAAGATGAGTCATGGATGAAATAATATATCTCATATCTAAGTCACTGCAATTGAGACAACATAAATTATTTAATATTTAGAAGTAGCTCCCCCAAATATTTCTGTCAGCAATGTTTGTTCAGAAGGTAAAATCAAGATGAAAAGTAATAATAAATAACAAAAAGGAACAAGAGTGAATTATTCAACATGCTCATAAAAGTCTAAGAACACCAAAATACACTTGTACACAGTCCTGACAGTGTCCCTACACCTGGTGGGTTTTCTGTTTGTTTCTTCTTGTTTAGTCTTAAATGAAAAAGTTTCTAAAGGGAGAAATAAATTTTACTTAGTTAAAACAACAGAAGCAGGCTCTGAGTTCAACTCCTCAACTAGTCACTAAAACATCCTTAAAGTTCCCTTTCCATCCTTAGAACTGTGTAGGATTAGTAGCTGTTGGTCTGAGGGTCTCAGGTCTGTTAGGGTCCTTAGAAGGCAGTAATACCTTCTCTCTTATTTCCACAATATTGTGTCCATTTGGAAAACTGGGGGGTGGGGGAGGGGAGGGGCAGGGAGGAATTGGAACATGTACTGGGCAAGACACTTACACTGTGACTTTGGACTGAGATTTTAAGAGGAAGAGAGAGGAAGGAAAAAGCCTAGAACAGACATTTGTTGTCACAAAAGTCGGCAAGCCCAGTGTACTATTCCTGGCTGACAGCTGTGCTCATCTTGAGATCAGAGATGACAATTTTACTGCTGAAAGGGATATCGACGTTTCTTTTTCCAGATTAAGAATGCTGAGGCTCTCAGATATTAGGAACGGATTCCATGTTTGTAAAAATGTCTCCTTATTCAAAGAATTTATTTAAAATTAGTAAAATGGTCCTTTAGAAGAAAACAATAAGCAAATGGAGGTCTATTCTGCTCTCAGGCATGTGACCTCCTTTCTCTGGCTATTTATCTGATCCCTGTGCTCTCTCCTTCCTGCCTCTCACGTACCTACTGCCAGAACCTGACCAGAGGCACCACTTAGGCAGACTGGCTAGATTTCCCAGCCTTTCCCATTAGGTCTCTTTCCTCACTTTCTTTGGACCTGTCAGTCGAACCCCTCCTCCTGGAAGATTCTATCAAAGCCTGTTCCAGGGCCCACTCCGCCTTCTTCAGGTGACATCTCTCTGGAGCCCTCAGGGATGACCTCATTCAGTGCCCACTCTCAGCTTGCGTTTTTCTCAGGTTTTTTCTCTCTCAAAGAAAACAAATATACCTACCACATTCCATAGCACGAAGCTGGGCTAGATTTAGCTTCCCCACTAGACTGGGAGCTCTTGCGGGCAGGGCTCACGTTCTAATCCCCTTAATATTCCAAGTGGCTGGCACACACCAGATGCTCAATAACTGTTTGTTAGATGAAAAATCCACGTCTCTAACTTGGTAACAGACAGGAAGTATTTTAAAGCTTCCAAACAAAACTTTCACAAAACTAAAGTGCTAGCTGGTTCTGGGCCCCAAAAAGTAAACAAGGAGTTTGGATGATTTAGTCTAAGTAGAATGCTGAGGGCTGACACAGTATCTTTATAAGGGGTCACAAGACAAGTAAGAGACAGACAGCCACCTGGGTATCACCATCATAGACAGGATGGAGGAAGCTGATCTATTTCCACAGTAAACATCAGCAAACCTACTTTGATAGTGAAGGTTACGTAAAAGGAAGCAAGGCCCTGAGGAAGGATGAACTTCGTTCCATAGAGATTTCTGAGAACAAATGAACCCTCCCACGAGTTTGCTGTGAGTTAGATGGGATTCTGGCTGAATCAAAGGCCAAACCACATGAGCTCTTGAGGTCACCTGCAGCCCTTGTCTTTGTGCAAGGAGTCAGGAGTTTCTACCTCCTGAAATCTCTATTATTCCATACAAATGTAAAAATGAACATCAAGGAGTATGAGGGGTAGAACGGCTACCAAGGGGCTAAACACCCACGGAAACAGAGAACAAAGTTACCCAAACCACTCCTGTCTCCATCTGGATGAAACTAGAACAATGTTTCAAATACCACTAAGGATGCATATTACAATCATAGAGCCCCTGGTTTCCGCATCTCTTATTTAACAATCTGCTTGGTTTGTAAACCATAAAGGAGAAAAAGATTTGATCCACCACTGATTTAAAATTAGTTCTTGATATAAAATAGAGATTTTGACCACGGTGCATTAAAAATAAAGAACATAAGTGATTGGAAAAAAAATGGATGATACAAAAAATTGGGGGACACTTACTGAAGTCCATGGCAGGTTGACAATGCCACAAATGAGGCAGGGTTTCCTCGGATGTGGCCCTGGTAGTAACAGTGTTCTCCTCCCTGAAAGCAGAAATAGAGAACATAAGCCTTTGCCATCACAAAGAGAATCTGCCACAGCGTTTCACAGGTTTCTGCCCACACTGCACCTCCATGTGCAAAGCTCTGTACAATGTTTCACTATCCAGGCTAGTATTATCAAACCATTTCTAACAGAATTATTCATAAACACTCCCAGCGAGCTGACTGCAAATCAACAGACAGGGAAATAAAAGTTGACTTAACTTTCCTTTTATGTAGATGATGATAGACGGAACAAAGAAACAGACTCTGAAATACGTATGTGGCCCCCAGTACCAGGAAAAGTTCAATCGGCGATTTCCCCAGTCCTGAGAAACTCAACCTTGAGTAGCAGCAAAATGCTGTGCTTTCCCATAAAGTGAAGTAGGATGAATATAAATCATCTGAGAGTCACTAAATTAAGTTGATGGAGAAAAATGCCTATTTTTACAGTTATCAAAACTTGACAAATTTACACTAGTCTTTTCTCCAACCAGGAATGGCTTTACTGGTAAGCAGTCTAGGGTAGGGTTTGAAATTGAGAAGTTTCTTCTAGAAGTGAGCCACATTAATGAAATTCCACTACGAGACTCATTTGTTTGGATTAAATGTTCCTGGAAAAGGTAACAGGGTAGAGCCTCTGGCATCTCAAGGTGGTACCCCAGTCTTTAGATGCTTGCTACTCAGACTGTGGTCTAGAAAACAGCAGCGCTGGCATCACCAGAAGCACGTCAGAAATGCAGAATCCCAGGGCCCACCCCCGACCTACTGGATCAGAATCAGCATTTTAACAAGGCACCTAGGTGATTCATAGCGCACATGTAAGTTTAAGAAGCACTGGTCTAAATGACCTTTCCCATTCCCCCACTAATCTCCCAATTCCTCAGAAGCTGAAAGCTTTTAATTCAACTGACTCACTGATATGTGAAAGAGCAATGTAGGAAGGACTGAAGGAACGGGTGGTTTAAAGGGGCAAATGTTACCTACTTCACAGTCTGGCTTAAGGACTAACCCCACTTAAAATACTCAGTGCTTGACAAGGGCAGGGGAGAGAACAGGAAGACATAATGATGGAACAAGGTTGAAGACATTTTCTTCACTGGGATTCCAAGGAAGGCAGCCTGGCCTGAGCCTGCTGCTCCTCATGAGATAATCCCACAGGACAGGGTGAAGCTCAGCTTTGCTGAGGGAGCAGAGAGCAGGCAAAATGGCTCGCAGCACAAGCCCTGACGCTCTGACACCTCCAAATTCCCAAGGGAGTCACTGAGAATCATGAACTGCGGACTGGGGTTGGATCGGATGGAGGATAAGATAGGGAGGTACTTCACGTGTAATTCTGACAGGCAATGGAACCCAGAAGGCCATAGACTTAAGGGGAGAAACAAAGCCAGTTCCTGACTTCCGGGGTAGCGTTGGTTTGGATTTAACAGTGTGAGCTATTAGCTCTTTTACTTACTAGCCGTGTAATCTCAAACAAATCACAGAGTCTCCCTATGTAATAATCTCATAGGGTTGTTCAGAGGATTAAAGAGTTAACATGCATAAAGGGATTAGAATAATGCATGGCACTTGGTACACACTCAGTAAATGTTTGCTACCATTACGATTACTGTGTGTCTCTTATTGCCCTACTCAGTTTACACACACAATCTCCTTAAATCCTCACATCGCTTCTACAAAGAAATATTGTCGTCTCTATTTCACATAGGAGGTCACAATCTCTGAGAGTCAAGGCTGTCCACCTGGGAAGTTGCCAAGTAGGGGTGCAGACTTTGTGTGAATGTGTGAATGCGAGGCCTGTGTCCTTCCCCCTACATTACTTATGAGTTGGACCTAGAACCTGTGAGTTATGCAATGCAAGCTTCCCCTAGGCTGTTTTTGTTTGTTTGTTTGTTTTTAATTTTTTGAGTAAAGCTGGGGGGTATATTTAACAGGACTTACAATTCCCTCTGTTGGATTGGTGAACTATCCAAAAGATTAGTGGAGGACAGGTTACTATGTTTCAAATGACCTTGATTTCCTGGACACATTTGATTGGACCAATCAAAACTCTAGCATTTGATTGGCCAGACACAAAAAGCCAACAGTCAATGGGGTGACCTGGAAAGACAGAGCAGCATTTCTTTAAATTGGACACAGACTAATTGGACACAGACCCAATCAGATCTCTCTCAGAGGTCTAAAACTCACAGTGAAGAGTAGGTAGAAAGATAGTAGAAACAAAGAGAAGCGGAAACCAGGAAGATAATCACAAGAATTACGGTATCAGGTTAGGGAACAATGGAAGCTGACAAGTCATTGTATGTGGGGAAAATACATCAGAGGTAAAGGCATACAAGACATGTTTTATAAATTACTAAAGTTTTCTTTAAAATACCAACTTTGGGGGCTTCCCTGGTGGCGCAGTGGTTGAGAGTCCTCCTGCCAATGCAGGGGACGCGGGTTCGAGCCCTGGTCCGGGAAGATCCCACATGCCGCGGAGCAGCTAAGCCCGTGCACCACAACTATTGAGCCTGCACTCTAGAGACCGCAAGCCACAACTACTGAGCCCGTGCGCCTAGAGCCTGTGCTCTGCAACAAGAGAAGCCACCACACCACAATGAAGAGTAGCCCCTGCTCACTGCAACTAGAGAAAGCCCACACACAGCAACAAAGACCCAACACAGCCAAAAATAAATAACTAAATGTATTTAAAAAAAAATAGAGGCCTTAATGTTAAAGGGCTTCTTTAATTTATATAAATCTATAGTTAAATTATTAAAATAGACAAAATAAATTAAATAGATTTTTGCTTTTAAATAAGTATTTTCACACATTATTTTTAAAATAATAAATACTTATGGCAAAAATCCTAAGAATTCAGGTGGTACATGGTAAAGAGTGAAAATATTCCCTTCCTACACATTGTCCAGGCTGCAGTTGCTTCCTAAAAGGTAAGCATTTTTGACAGATTTTGTGTACCATATCAGGAGTTGTCTATGCATATTTAAGGAAATGTGTATATACATAAATATACATATATCCTTTTCAGTGCATAAATGAGTTTACACTACCCATACTGTTCTGCCACTTGAGTTTTTTCCTTAAGGTAACCTTAACATCAACCTCATTGTTTCAATTGTGGCAGAATATTCTACCACAGGGGTGAACCACAATTCATTTAAACAATCCTGTACAAATGGACATTTAGGTTATTGCAACAAACATTCTTTCATATATTTCTGTGCACTTCTGTCAGTATATATGTAGGATAGATTACCAGATGTGTAGGTCAAAGAGTATGTGCATTTAAAATTTTAGTGGATAGTTTAGAAGACAAATATAATTGTATTTCTTTACACATATCTGTTTTAAAAGATGCATGGCATTTTAAAATAATAAAATGCATTTTATTTTTTTTGCGGTACGCAGGCCTCTCACTGTTGTGGCTTCTCCCGTTGCTTTTTTTTTTGCGGTACGCGGGCCTCTCACTGTGTGGCCTCTCCCGTTGCAGAGCACAGGCTCCGGACGCGCAGGCTCAGCGGCCATGGCTCACGGGCCCAGCCCCTCCGCGGCATGTGGGATCTTCCCGGACCGGGGCACGAACCCGTGTCCCCTGCATCGGCAGGCGGACTCTCAACCACTGCGCCACCAGGGAAGCCCTAAAATGCATTTTATTAAAAATTACATATTTTAATAAAGACTACCATTTAAACCAACTTTCTCAAATCTTATCAATAATAAAGATTCTCCATATCTTCACATGACTTTCTTAAGGAACGAAATGCTTTATGGAAGCAGGTATTATAAAAAATAACCTAAGACAGATGTTGTAGGAAAAGAAAAAAGCCAGCACATCCCAACAGAGTTTAGCTCTTTATCCAACTGCCAGTCTTGGCTTTATTCCTTACTGTCTCCTGTTCCAGAAATAAATCCATTGTCCTTAAAGCTTTCTTCATACTCCTTGATTTAATAACACAGTCATAACAGTACAGATGTTTATTTTTAGCTAATTAGATAGTTGTAGCTAAAAAAACTACCCACCTCTATAAAAATGGACTATATGATAATTCACATGTCATATTGGTTTATCTTCCCTGTGGAAAAAAAGCTTACTGAGATTTAATTCTAGGGGAGTCGAAATAATCATTTATTTGAAAACTTCAAACACAAACCACATTTTTATTAAGCATTCAAAAGAAAAGCAGAATTTATTACAAATATGCTGAGATGATAATGCAAAGGAAGTTACACAGCCTGGGTTATAAAACTAAGAAACCCAATAAAAGAAACTAATTAGAGCACAGCTGCAAGGCCATGGTCATTTGCTCTCCATCCAGACCCTCAAAGGAAACTACAACTTTATCAGCTCCAAGATGGACCAGGGCCACCTCTTCCAAAAAGCCTTCTCAGATTCCTTCCTCCTCATAAAATTAACCTTGCTAACCATTCTTTCTCTGAATTTTCATATTTTATCTCCTTCTACCTGCATTCTTGTTTCTGTCCCATGCCCCCACTAAACTATGGTCTCCTTTCAGGGAAGCACAGGTGCCTGATTTACATCCCCAAGTGTGCTGTTAGGGGGAGAGCCTCCCAGAATCTCAGCTTCCTCATCAATCAAATGGGGAAAATAACAACCCACACTGCCTCACAAAAGGATGCAGTGGAATCCATGAGATACAAAGTCAAGTCCACTGTAAACTGCTATATAATTAGGTGCAGCCAGGCAATATTTACTCAGTGAGGGATTCTATATGTCCCTCTAGCTATGATTTTCATACTTTATTTGTTAAGACTAACAAATTGTTAAATTCAGGGCATTAGCTAATTAATAATGCAGATTACTGTGTCTCTCACCCAGAGAGTCTGTTTAGGCAGCTCTGAGGTTAGACCCAAGAATCTGCATTTTAACAAATATCCCATGGTTTTCTTACTCTAAGAATACACTAGAGCAGTGGTCCTCAACCTTGGCTGCATATCAGAAACACCTTGGGGAGCTTTCAAAATCCCAATGCTCAGGCTGT